CATTTCATAAACTCTTAAATATTTCGTTTGTTCGTCTCCATATAAGTTTAAGTAGCAGTTGTTGTCTAATGGAACTTTAACTTGTGTACCATCATTCTTTATATAGCTTACATACATTTCATTGTTATTTTTCGGAATGAGTTTATACCGTATACCATTTCTTAAGGAATGTACAAACTGCCATCTAAAATATTTATTTTCTTCATCGACAGAAAAGTCGCCAACAATAGTTTCAATATTTTTTGTTGTTCCAACTAAACTTTGGTATATTTCATTGACATATGTTTTATCTGCTTTTGTCTCTAATGTTTCTTGTAAGTTTGTTATATTTGCAATGGTATGTGTATGTCCAACGTCACTTTTCCTGTTTAAGGTTTCTTGTAAGTTTGTAATATTTGCAATGGTATGTGTATGTCCAACGTCACTTTTACTGTTTAAGGTTTCTTGTAAGTTTGTAATATTTGCAATGGTATGTGTATGTCCAACGGCACTTTTACTGTTTAAGGTTTCTTGTAAGTCTGTTATTTCAGATATAGAATGTGTATGAGTCTTTTTAGAATATTCGTTTTCAGCTCTTGTCACTTCACTTGACATTTTATTGTCAACATATGTTTTGTCTGCTAGTTCAGGATGAGTATGTTCTTTCGTTGCATATGTTGCATCTGCTCTGTCATGTTCTTCTTGAACTTTTTCAATGACATACTCTTTGTCAGCTTTGTTGCCAACATCTGCTTTCAAAAGAAGTTCATCTATAGGTTTCTCGTTTAAAGTTCCTTTTGTTGGATTTACACAGACAGTATGGTTCTTACTGTCTTGAAACAGAAACTCGTCTGTCATTGGGTTTATCGTCAGTTTTAAGTTTCCTTCTTTCAATGACTCAGATATCTTAGAATAGTTTGAAAAGTTTGTTGTGTTCTTATTTAGAGCTTGCAAAATGAGTTGTCGGTTGTGTTGTATTTCTCTCATAGACGCTGTTTCTTTCGACATTTTTATTCTAGATAAAATATGCTTTCAATAGAAAAAGAAAATTCAAGAGTTGCTACAACTAAACCATTAGATGAACTTTTTACGAATGTCGGTCAAAAGTTTGAGACAGAGACCGTAAAGCATGAAGGCTATCGTTTTGACTACCCACTAAGATGGTTAAGAGACCCATCCGTCACAAAAGCTGTTGGCTTTCGTAGAATGAAGTTCATTTCAGAAGCCATACATGGTTTCCCATTTACGGTCGCTTTTGAAATTCGATACTATAACAAAGAGAAACGTACGTATGAGAAATTTGAACAGGGAAAACTTTTACAAGTTAGTTTGCTTGTAAACTTAGAAACAACTCTTCAAGCTTTTCAAGAAAAAATAAACGATATCTATATCGAATATGCAAAACAGTACAACATTGACGAAGGAGAGTACCATCTCGATATTATATATGACAGGAAAAATGCAACTGTTAAAATCAATAGAATAGAAGACCTTGGAGAAGACGTTTATATTTCTACAAAATATAACAACTTGGCATGGTATAGATTTTTGAGGATGTTAAATCAGCCTGCAGAATATCCAGTACACCCGAACTTTTATGAAGTCGAAAACCCTAATGGAACATATGAAAATGTTTTCGACTCAGATGCTATTATAGTTCATGCTTCATTTTCTGGTGCACAAAACTCTTTTTTATGCTTGGCAAATGACTTTTACGAAAAACCTACAAAGTTATACGAACCACCAAGTGGAAGTATTTCAGACTTTCAAGTATGGTTTACTACAGATGGAAGAAAGAGAATAATTCCATTATACCATGCGTTTTACTTAGAACTTAGTTTCATATACAACTACTATCGAACGGTAAAAATATAATTTTTTAATACGGTTGAGGTGTTGGATTTGGTTGCCAACTAGACTGTGGTGCAGGTTCAGGCTGTTGTATAACAGGAGCTTGTTCTTCTGGTTCAGGGTCTTTAGGTATAATACCAACGAACTGACCTACTCTTTTACCAATATTTTTGACTCCGTTCCAAATTCCTCTTCCTACGGTTTTTATTCCATTCCATATACCTCTTCCAACATTTCGAAAGAAGTTTCCTATCTTACTGAAGAAACCCATTTTACTATATGTAAAAATCTAATGTCCACCTAGTCTCTTACGTTTCCTGTTGAGTTCCATAGCATTCTTTAACTGGAGCTCATACATTCTGTTTCTCCTCTGGTAGAAAACATATTCTGGGTCAACTCCTGTGTTCGCGTCATCTGCATAAAGTTGTTTATATCCCACTTCAGGGTTTGTATAAAACTCTTTCCATCTCATATTTGCATACCATGGTGGCAAACCTAACGCAGCGTCATTTGACATGGCAGTTTGCATTTGTACATCTGTTGGCACTTGACCATAGTTTGCCATTGCAGTTTGTATTCTAACTTCATTTGGAATATTCTCTGGGTTTGGTTGTCCAGGTTGCTGTGCATTCGCTAAGTTCTGTGCGTCCATTTAATATTAGATAAAAATATCTCTTACGAGTACATATACTGGACATTTGCAGGCATTGGTTCATCTTCATATTCTCTATATCTTTCTGCCACGTCAAATAATAAATGACACAATGGAAAAAACCTAAAACAAGTAGTCCTATTTCAAACCACATTTACTTACTAATAAAATTTCTTTGTTATGACACTTTCTCCAGTTTATAGGACCTCTCTCATATTCTATCTTGTCATATATAAACTCATAGTCATGTATGTCCTCTAACCATCTCATAACGGTTTCCAAACCACTTTTATCGGATGTAAAGTAAAAGCATGGATGGTTATGTAAAACGTCTAAAGTTTCTAAAGAGTCTCTCAAAGTCCAGTCTACTTGGTATTGAAAATCGTATGTGTTATAGAACGGCGGGTCCACTATAAAGAAAACATTTTCCTTGTTTTTATATTTTTCATACAACTCTGTCCAATGACATCTCACAAACTCTATACCCTCAGTATATTTTTCTATGTTCTCTTTGAAAACATTTGTATAGTTAAGATATAAAACTTTTGACATAAGTGTTTCAATGTCATGAACTCTTATAGAACCACTATATAATAGTCTAGCAGATATACTATCCCAGTCTATATATTCTGCTTTTTTCAAAACCTCTCTCACAATATTTTTCTTATCTAATGGTATACGTTCCATCTTACCTATAGGTATCTTTTCTTTTAACTCTTTCAATATTTTGTTTGTGTCTGGTATATGTTTGAGACGGTTCATATAGTTGTCGAAGTCATTGCATATAATCTTTGAGTCTGGAAATATTATATGGCACAAATGGGATATATAGAAACTTCCACCGAACAAATCTACAAATGTTAGACCATTCGGTAGTTTCTTAAGTTCTCTCAATAGAATATCTTTACATCTACTCTTATTTCCAAAGAAGGGTAACGGTGGTTTTGTAAAATTCATTTTATATATATAATAAAAATGTTTTTTCCTGAAAAGTGACAGAAAAGTGACAAAACATCTTCGGGGCTAGAGGGCACGAAGTGCCTGGAAGCCCCAATCCTTTTTTTTTTTTTTTTTTTTTTTTTTTTTTTATTAAAATGTGACTTTTAATAGTAAGTGAATAAAATAAATCAGGAATTGGGAAAGAAATAAGGTTAATTAAAAATAATGAAAATTACAAGTTTAAGGTTAATGAAAAGTGACAATGGGCGAGTTTGTCCCCCACTCTTTCGGAGTTTTGTGACGAAGTGCGAATCTTCACTTCGTCAAAAATATATTCTTTTTATTAATGGTAATATAGGAATTGTAGGAATAAAAACTTTTTATAAATTATTCATAAATGTAAGACATGAATTTTTAAAGTTTATTTTTTTATTTTTTATTTCATTATGGTAGTGAATCTTTCATTCATGAAAATAATTATTACTAATTTATTTAATAATGTCGCACATACTAGATTTAAAGAATTCGGAACTTTTACCATAATCTCCTAAATGTTTTCTTATCCCTAACGTGTGCCAGTTATTATATGAAACCGAATAAACTTTATCTTTATCTTTACACCTTTCATCACTTCCAATATATTTATACCTCAGTTTTGATTTAGCATTTTCATATTCATGAGCGTTTAATAATTCGCAGTCTTCCTTTTTAAATAAATGTTTTATGTATTCAGGATTAACAATTCTATAATATTGCTTCCCTTTAAATCTTTGAATATAAACAGGAACACCATCCTCTAAAATTCGATAATCTATTTTATCTGGTTTTACTTGTTGGGTCATTTATGTAAGAATATAATTTACCATACTCAGGCTAATGCGAGTGGGGGACAAACTCGCCCATTGTCACTTTTCATTAACCTTAAACTTGTAATTTTCATTATTTTTAATTAACCTTATTTCTTTCCCAATTCCTGATTTATTTTATTCACTTACTATTAAAAGTCACATTTTAATAAAATATAATAATTTATTTATAGCATTTTTTACTATACTGTAATAAAAAATTAATTATAATAAATTAAATGTTTATTAAATCAAATGTTTTCTTTGCAATAATATTTTTAATGTTGAGTAAACAATGTTGGGATCAAGTGTATCATTTTTCAGACCTTTCTGAACAGCTTCAAGCATACTGATGCATTCGACTTTTTTAAATTGTGTCATTTCTTCGAAATCTCTTGTGACTTTTTTGATAACTTTAACACTTCTCTCTGAATCCAGACCTTTAATTTGCAACTTAATCAGGAATGAAGGAACAACACTGGAATATAACTCGATGACAAGTTCATCGAGTCGAAGATTTCGCCTTTCTGGGAAGTACTGGTGCTTCAAAACCTTGAAATGTGATTCCGAGATGTTGTTTGTTCCATCTCCTTCATTTCTATAGCGAAGCATCCACCTGTCAAGATGATGGCGCCACTGTCGGTCAAAGTATTCACGGGCAGCAGGTTCCTCATTTAAAATTTCTTCTAAATTGTTGTAAACTTCATCAGGATCAATTTCTTCCTCTTCAGAACCAAAGACCAATAACTTCATTAAGTTATAGAAAGTTTCGAAGTTGGAACGATCTTGAAACTTTTCAGCCTTTCTCATGACAGCGCGCAACACATGAACGCCACACCAAATGATCTGGCATAAGGGGATGGCTGTTTCAACAGCATTTGTGATTTGAGGTGCGCAGTCCATTGAAAAATAAGATGGTTCGCGATTGATGGAGCCAAAATATGCTGTGAGACAAACTTGTATATTTTCACTTGTGTCGGGCCAAACGAAAAAATACAAAAACGGAAAAACAATTGATTCCGCGAATTTGCCAGTGACGGCATAAAATGGTATGCGAGAGCGCAAGAGCTTATAAGTGGAATCAATGTGATAAGTTTGTATTTGATGTGAAAAAGCATTTGCTTCGAATGGGGCGTAATAGAAAATCATACGATCTGGCTCGTGAATAAACTCGATGAGATCATCCGGAGAATGACTCTTAACCATGTCGACAAAAATTGCAAGAGATGTAACATCATCCGCTGAGAAACGGGTATTGATTGCATGAAGGCGTTTAGAAAACTTTTTTAAAGCATCTGTAGATTGTTGAAACATTTCCGGAATGATCCCACTATCAAATGGGATATTAAGATCTTTGAAACACCTTAATTGTGCGTAAACACGGTCTTGATTTGATTCAAAATATCTTGTTAAATAAGATCTATAAAAATATGATGTAATTTGTTGTGATTTGTTTGGAAAAGGGGCAGAATGATTGTGGGTGTTAATACATTTTCGTATGTGGTACTTGTCATCGGGAAGTGTATCAACAAGGAAGCGACATGGACAATTCGGCCACTTACAATTAAATTGGATTTGATTTCTTTCTTTCCTAGTTTTATATGAATAACTACAACCTGCTTGTATTTCTTGTTGCACTCCATACTTAAGCAACTCGATATATGTGAGTTCGTGATCTTGGATCTGCATTAAAATGAAATGATTTGAAAGAATAAAGAATTTTGAATATATTGGTCTTATTTTGATAAGCTTGGTCGTGTTTTGAATAGCTTGGCCATCTAATTCAATTATGATCTTTGAAAATTAGGTGAAATAAAACTAAACATAAATGTAAAACTAGGGATATGAAATTTTGGTTGTACACCACTTGTATGTGCCGGATACCATTGTGTCAAATTTTTTCTGAAATTAACTTTAAAAGTACTAAGTAAGATCATGAGATATAGCAATATATGTTTAAACCAACTTATATTTTGGTTGTACACCACTTGTATGTGCCGGATACCATTGTGTCAAATTTTTTCTGAAATTAACTTTAAAAGTACTAAGTAAGATCATGAGATATAGCAATATATGTTTAAACCAACTTATATTTTGGTTGTACACCACTTGTATGTGCCGGATACCATTGTGTCAAATTTTTTCTGAAATTAACTTTAAAAGTACTAAGTAAGATTATTTATTTTTGCATAATATAATGCCAATATGGTTTCTTTTAATTTTATTTCATTTATAAGCAAATCAGATTTACCCAAAAACTCCACTCCATAAGCGTTCATTTGCTAAATTAAAAAGTGACAATGGGCTAGTCTGTCCCTTTCTCGGCTAATGCCGGAATATCGTGCATTTTATAAAAAATTCAAAGAATTGACAATTGGATAGCACAAATTTAATTCTCTAGACAAAGTATTATTGTTTATATATTCAAAGCATTATCCTTAGTTTTGAAATGTTGGCAAAAAATTTTCGTGTTATTTTTTGTGTTTCAGCATAAATTATGTATTGACTTAATGAAAGATAAGCATTTTTGTTGCATGCTAAGTTCGGTCAACGATAGAAATTGAGTGGAAATTAATCGTCGAGGAAGTACGATTATCTAAAGTAAAAAATGTTGTGGGATTTTTAATATTATATATTATTTTATAATAAAATTTTTTTGAGTCATTTTAAGAAGCACATATAATTTTTTGAATTTAAAAATTAAAGTAGTGTCAAACGAATTTATTACTTAATTTAATACTCAGATTTCTTAAAATTAATGAAAAAAAGGTTTTCTGAGAACTTTTGAGAATGGTTTTCAAATTCCATTATTGAAAATATATAGGTATTGTATGAAATTCAAACTCTATATTTATTAAAATTCTAAATTTTTAATAAAATAACTTTTCAGAGGAATATGATTTTGAATGGTTGATTAATAAGTATAAAAATGTCTACGATTTTAAGGAGGGAATTGTTCCTTATGAGGTATACATCATAACTATATACCTCATAAGGAACAATTCCCTCTTGATATCCTGGATATTTTTGAATATATTTTTTTAATTAAAGTTCTCAAAAGTATTATCAAAAGTGATTTTTTAAAAATATCTCCAATTAATTAACTAATTAAAAGTATTATATTTTTAAAATTAAATAGTTTTTCAATTTTTTTGAAGGAATTGAGATACTTCCCACAACAATAAAATTGAGAGGTTTACATTCTGACTGATCTTAGCATGCAACATTTTATTCATTATCATAAAGATATACCAAAACAAATTGATAAAATTTTAAAAAATGTGTATTTTAGTGGGTATTATTCTGGCCAATGCCCATTTTTAAACGATTTAATATTGACCATATCAATAGCCGACTCAATGTAAAAATTTAGATATTATTTTTTTCATTATTCAAACTTTGATAAATTTTAGTATAATGAATGATTTTGTTTCGTGTATGATACAGAAATGAAAAGCTTGATTAATATCATTTTGCATTTTTTCAAGAATGTTAGAGTACATCTACATTAAAAAATCGGATTCGAATTGCGATACTGCATCAAATTGTTGCACATCTGATAAGGATCTCAAAAGAGTAAAGTTAATTTTTTTGTGTTTTTTTAAGTTTTGGGCCTTAGTAAAAACATCATCTTGAGCAATATTTTTGGGACGACGATAGGCCTTATTTGGCCTTACAGTGGACCCTTAAATCAGAGCTTATTTTTTGAATAGTTTACAAGTGTTCAAACAAATTTATATTCTAATTAATTTTGTTTAATTTAGAATAAGGAAATGATTCTAAATATATTTGCTAAAAACATGTCAGATTTTTGAATGTTATGAAAAACTTTAACATCTCAATTTAAAATCTTATAAATTATATGATAAATGGATTAATTCTTGAGTTTAATAGCATTTTAAAAATTACCGAAGATTTGATTTTTGTGAGAATTGAGATAAACGTTAGCTCGAGCTCTCAAATTATTTTTCTGGACAAATTATAAAACTTGTTATTTTTAAATTGTATTTATAAATTTTAATTTTTTAAATTAATATAAATGTTTAGCCATGATATTTGAATGAATGAATTTAATCCGCCAAAATATTTATGTGATTATTTTAATGATCTTATATGGTAGATTAAAATTCTCGATAAAAATAATTGAGATCAACGTTGAGATTTGACAAAAATTAAACTTCTCTCTAAGAAAATTAGTCAACAACTTTTACTCGAAAATTATATAATATCCCATTGGCTGAGAATAATAACTCAAAATAAATGCGATTTCACGTTGCTCTTGCTTGATCGTTAAAAAATGACCATAAAATTGAGATTTCGATCATAATAATTTCATATTATATCTAATAACAATCAAAATACTCTGAATAAATACGAATATAAAACAAAATCAACGTCGAACGATATTTTCTCGTCATTAAGCTCTTTTATCTTGTGAAAATAGATTCAAATATGTATCTTATTCTAATGCTAAACCAAACTCCCTTATCATGTTTCTGTCATAACGCATTCTCAGCTAACTAATTTATCAATCAATGCCACTAAGTTCCCTGCCACATCCACACAAATATTTTTGAAGATTGATCAAATTCTGACCAACATCACAGTATGACCAGAAATTTTGTCTTTTGAGTGCCTTTGGGGCATATAAATATCCTAGCAATTATATTTCAATGACACAAAAAGAAGTATTTCCAAGTGATATGGACTGATTCCCTATCTGTTAAATCAAATCATTCAAAATCACGAATTCTAAGTCAAAAAATATAATTTGAAAGGATAATAATGTAAATTAAAGGCAAGTATAATTGAATAATAAATATTTGACTTAATATAGTTAATTTTTATAAAGCAGATAATAAAGTGTTGTATTAAGTAATGCAATGCTTTGTAATGATTTATTTTGTATGTAAAGGGTTGATATATGAACTTTACTATAAATGAAACTAAGCCAACTAATGTTCTTTGAGAATCAAAGGTATATGATTTCAAAAGTATAGAATTTATCGTATTTTGTAGAAAAAGCTGATAATTTAATAAATAATTCAAAGATAAATAAATACATAAAGATATGAAAATGAAAAAAAGTGATTACAATTGTATTTGTTATTTCTTACTGTACCACATGGTATTGGAGGCAAAATGTCACATTGGCTCATCCTCTTTAGGTTATCGCATCCTCCAAAATTATCACTTGGATAATCATTCAGCACATAGATGGTTTTGGGACAATAATGAGCATTAGGTACATTGGCTCTCATAAATGTTCCTATTGGGAAGATTGCTAATCCACAATAAATCAAAGTTTCAAAATTTGGATTTGCTCCCAAGGATAAATTAGCCGGAACTACTGAAACTGTCCTGGGAAGACGTAGATATTTTAATTTTTCTAGAAAATAAATCGAGCCTTGATAAATATAAAACAGATGGCTTCCCTCTTCAAAGTATATGTGTTGGAGATCAGTGCAATAAGAAATGACATCAAAGAAAATGTATTCAATGTTGATGGGAATATGTATTGAAGTAATAATTTTATTTGATATAAATGCTGCACTACCAATTTGCTTAACAGGCAGATCTTCGATAAAATTTTGGATATAGATAGTAGATGAAGCGATATTTTTCCCAGCATTATTTGCAACATCAGATTGGTTCGTTCCACACATTGCAAAGTCGTCGTATTTCGTATAAACAACTCCTTGGGTATCGTTTACCATGGTTATGATAAATTCATCATAAAAAAAATGTTATTTTTTCGATAATACCGGCGTGAAGTGTGAAACATGAGGCTGATATAAGTATAAGATCTATTAGATAAGGCATGCCTAAATATGGAATGTAGACCAAATTTAGTTGCCTATGTATTTTAAATGCTGTTTTCTTTTGATTTTTCATCAATCACCATAATTCATATCATTAACGAGTGTACTTATGTATGTATTTAATTGTTCGTTATAGCAAGAAGTTTTTCAAAGTGAAATAAATTTATATTGAACACAAAAGCAGTATAAATGGAATTATTTATGAGATAATATTTTTAATAACTAAAATGTTTCGCATATACTTATTTAAATGCTCAAAACTTTCCTTTATTCACTCTAAAAAATGGAAATAAATATTTTTAATTCCAAAAAAATTTGTTTTTAAATTTACGGTTGCTGAAATTGTTGAAATGATAATCATTTTTAGAATTTTGGATTTTTTTTTTGGAATTTATGTCTTATACGTATATAACCTTGGGCCTCATCTGGGTCAGAATAGCAGAAAATATCAATGATTTACCAGTTTCATCAAATTATCTGACGAAAAATTTCACCCGATGGACTTATTTCCTACATGATACGATTAAATAGAGATAGCAGAGTTCATTTATAAATAATTCGCAAGCACCATAATAAATCTGTAAAATTTCATTGATTTTATAGAATTTTATTATACATTTGAAATGTATTAATATTATCGATTTATTAATAAATTCTATACTACGGTTTTCTCACAATTTTTGAATTTACTTTTTAGGTTATTTACGTTAAACTTCAAAATGGCGCGCCAAATGTATATACAAGAACGTCTTTATTAAAATTAGAAAAGGTAACAACCAACTGGATGCACGGCAAGCACTGGGGAGATTATCAAGCCTCCGAAAGCGCCCGGTGTCGTGTTGAATCCCATCATTGGAGTATCAGGAGAATTCAATCGGCTACTATCGCTCCTTGTCAAGTGTGGAGATGGAATCGAGAATGGGTCGAAAGGTATCTCGGCTTTTGCCGGTGATTTTTCCTCTTCCTTCTTAGGTTCTTCGACGTTCTTTCTCTTCTTCGATTTATCAGGTAACAAGACCTCCTTTTTACCAGGGAGTACTGATATTCTCTTGGAGAGGGACGAGTTCCACCTATTCTTGATGGCGTTATCCGTACGTCCGGGGATCAGTTTCGCGATGACTGACCACTTTGGTCCGAGTTTCTGGTAGTTGCGGAAGATTGTTTCATCCTCTTCGGGAGTCCATGCGTGCTTTATGACTGATGGATCGAGATGGTTGAACCATCTTTCTCTGCATTGCTTTGGGCTTCGATTTGGAAGGAAAGAAGTAATTTTCGGCCAATTTTGAGGTCCATTTTCTTTTACAAACTGCCTGATGAGTTCATCTTCCTGCTCCGTGAAAGGACCCTTGACTATAACGGGATCAAGACATTTTTCCCAACGGGCTAAAACTTGTGCAGGGCTTCTATTTTTCATGTGGCTGGCGATGACGCCCCACTGCTTGCCGTATTTCCTCGTCAATTTGATCAGCTCGGCGTCTTCCGAAGCACTCCAGTTCCTACCCATCAGTTGATAAAAATTGACTGTGTTTATCGTCGGTGAAATACTGGCTCACAGTTTCGTATATTTTATCAATTATTGGGACTATTAGCATATCATACATCACTCAAAAGTTAATTGACCACTCCATAATTTATTTTTTACACTGACATAGGTGATTTCATTTTTCACCGGCAACTACACGTTAATTCGCAAACGGAATATGGAAACATTACCCACCAAAATTAACCATGCTTGTCATCGGACATTTACTCCAACTTTTCACAATCAAATTTACATTTCGAAACCAAAAACTACGTGTTTCATTTATTTTCGCCATTATTCATCTCTCAAACCTTCGATAACTACATTTGGTTCATCCTTTGCCACATTATATTTGAGATTTATTTGAGATATATTTTACACCATCGTTACTTTTGAAAATAATGAGACTACGAATAACTACATGTGTTCTTGAGTTTAAGGCAAATATACTTACAACATTCCTATGATTATTTTTGAGATATAATTTTATTTTTTTATTCTTAAGTTGAATTGAGCTTGAAATACATGAATACCCATATCTTGCCCCATATGAGTACTTTAAATTATCCTAGAGCTTTCTAAGAGTTATCTTAACTATAAAATAATTAAGCAATAAGAGTCATTTAACCATCGAAACTTAAATCAGTTAAGTATGTGAATAAGGGTATATGTAAGGTCTTTGTGGTTAATGTGATTAAGAATAATTTTAAGTTTCATCGTAAAAATAATACAATATGGTTAAAAAAACATAAAAAACAAAGAAAAGTTTAATGAAATACAATAACAAGATCATGAGTTTTGATCTTTGGCAAGCATCTTGATTAATTCCGCAATAGTTTTATTATCGTCTTTAATTCCGATATCTGCAAGCATTGAACGCATTTTATCTTCAACTTTATTCTGTCTCTCAGTCATTGATTGAAGTTTCTGGATGTTGTTGCTCTTATCTCTCTCCAATGAAGTGATATTTCGATCAACTTCAATTAGTTTCTTTTCGCTTTCTGAAAGCTGTGATTGTGCAACAGAAAGCCTCTGTTCGGCTTCGAGTTTCTTTTGTTTCATGGCTTCTATCTTCTGTAATAGTTGATTATGTGTATTTTCGAGATCTTTTGTACTAGTGTTGGTCTTTTCCAGTTTCTCTTCAAGAGAGATCAAGTTTTTACGTACTTCTGTCGTATCTCTTTCTGTTATTTTGATATCATCTTGAAGAATCTGCAATTTTGCATTGTAATCAGCTATATTTTCTAATTGGCTTTTCTCTAGTGTAGTCAATTCTGCATTTTGGGATTTAAGTTTATCCAAATCTTTCATAAGTGAAGATCTTTGAAGTCTCAGCTCTGTTAACTCATCTAACAAGTGTTCTGATTCTATCTGCATCTCTTTGAACTCCTGATTTCTCGCCTTCCTCATTTGTGTAACGAAATCAGCGTAAGAATCTTCTGCATCAGCAATAGTTGAAGAATCTGCAACTAATTCACGTTTTCGGGCGAGAAGTGCTGCACTCGTTTCATCGTATTGTTTTTTAATTCTATCAAGTAATGGTCGACATAATTGAAATTCTGATTCCAAAAAATCAAAAGCGCGCTTGTAAACATATATTCTGTCAGCATCACTAGATGCTTTTGATAGTTCTCTGCTTAAATAACCATCAATATCATTCAAGAACTGCTGTCTTGCTGAAAATCTTCGAGGACGAATTGATTCTTCAGCTGCAGGTGGTTCTGGTAAATGAACATGTATTTCTTCGGATTTTGCAGTCTCTGATAATATAATATTTTCGGTTTTTGCCTTATTTTGGTCTTGAATTATTTCTCTCGGAGATTCAGGCGGAGATGAAAGACTTTTTCTGGAAGAACGCGCAGTACGGGATCTCGGACCCATTCCTATCTCAACGGGACGTGGAGGTCGACGTCGAGGTGACTTTTCTTCCATTTTTTTAGGTTCTTTTTGAAAAACGTTTGTAAAATTTTGTTATTCATGCCTACATCGTTAGTAGATTTGCCTCTACATTTGTCTGTTTTACATTTTTTCACCATAAGATTTCCATTTAACTCCAGTAAAGTTGGATTTCAATTCAATAAAACGATTATTTCCAAATTCCATATCATACCAGTATTTGCTATGACATGGATAGTATCCCACCTTTCAAAATTTTCAAAATCTGTAACTTGTATCTGGAAGCGAAATATGGAAAGAGGATAAGGGTAAAAACGAAGATAGGGTAAATGCAATAATATATACAACACATTTATTAATCAAACATTACTATTTTCTGATTTCTTAGCAACATGTAAGGTAGTCTCAAGGAGATCACTATCATCTATATGTACTGAATTACAATTGCAAGTACAATGATTACAGGGCATCGGGAGTGGCTCTGTTGATATCTTAGACTCGTAGTCAAGATTTATAGTTAATTCGTCTGGATCTATCTGATTTTGCATGTTTAGGTGACGACTGTATCCTTCTGTAAATAATATATTTTTCTTAGTTTGTAATTCCAACATGGAATACAAATGATCTATAGATTTGTTACAAATATCATTAAGAATCTGTCTCTTCACTTGAGTATTATGTTTGGGATCCTTTGAAAATCTAACAACCGAATGAGGAGCTGAATGACTTTCTTTTTTGACTGAACAAACAAATTTCTGGTAAACAATGATAACAGATTTGGAAGTAATACCTAAACATCCTACTGTTATATTAAGTGGTACCTCTTTTCCTTGATAGAAGAGACGCGTTATCATTCCTTCAGAAATGATGAGCTCTCTCTCTAATATAGTTTGGAATGTATCGAGTGAATGTACATAGAATGACTTAACAACTCCTGTTAACCATTTAAGATTTAGTTGACACTTCATTGCGGAAAAAGAGGATAGAATAAAAATGAGCAAATTGAATAGATCTGAAAATGTTACAATTCAATTTTAGAAATCCGGTAGTCAAATTTATTTTAAGGATACAAATGTATTAAGAGATTTCATAGTTTGAAAAATTTTGAATAAATTATCGATTATAGTTTTATTGAGGAAATATTGAATATCTATAAAAAAATATTGCCATATAAAACTAACCAAACAAATGAATAATACCTAGATTTTAGAATAAACGCAAACTGTTGTCGCCTGAAAATAGTAATAATTCAAGGTGTTATCAATCATCATTTTGTCCACAAATGATAAAGTATGATACATTTGAAAATAATATCGATATGTGACTAAAATGGTTTGCAATCAAATTGAATTGTCCCTTCAATCGAAGTTCTCAAAAATCGAAACAATTGAATTGAATGTAATATAAAATATCTGTTATTTTCAAAATATGAATATTGATACCATTCTATACATTTCTTATTTGAGAGTCTTATCCGTTAAAAACAAATCAGCCAATTATTCTTTCTTAATTTAGTAAATGTAATCCAAAATTAAGACCAAAATTGATTTTTAATAGCTTTTTAATTTTTCAATAGTGCTTTCTAAGATTTCATTTCACTTTGAAAAATCAACTTATTATTGTATAAATCGACAATACATACAGTAACATCCAATAAAATCCATATCATTTTATTTAGTTTTCAATATTCGTTTTTCTGTCTGTCATTTGACAATCGCTGTTTTCATTGACTCATATAATATTGTCATCCAAATCATGCTAGAAATAATATCTCTTTCACACAATTTTTAGAGGATATTTGGTCAATTTCATTTGTTGAGGAATCTGAAATCATCAATAAGCTTCAATATCCCAGACTGCTCTTGCACTTTTAAATAGCTTCTATATTTCGAATTTTGATAATTCTCTTATTTTTGAGATTGAAAAATTTACGCTTTTTGTTCATACATTGATTTCCAGAGGGTTTACACCTTATATCGATGAGATTATAAACAATCGCAAAATTTCCTTTTAAGTCCCAACCTTTTCTGGAAATTAATTTTTCCATGTCGATTTTGAAGCAAAATTGGTCATATACCTTCAAATTAAATCATTTGTTTTCTGGCCATTAACATTTCTCATATTTCCGACTTTCAACTAAAATTTCACTCTCAGGGAGGACTCGAAAAATAAAAAGGTTTTTACATTCGTTTATGAGTCATGAATTCTTTTGTCCTAAAAAGCAGCCGCTTTTCAAGTGGGCTGGTATTATCCAGAAGACAACAATGAAGACATTGTTTACAACAGATGACTTTTCGGAGATGAAATTGAACACATTAATTCAATTTTGTTATCCAACTGAAATTCCTATATCAGGACCATTGACATTTGTATTTAGATTTCGAACAGAAGACGAGTCATTCTATAATGCTTTTTGTTTATTGGATCAAACTTCATATCAATTGAAAGAATTCGATTTAAACCAACAATGCTGTATTTGTATCATTTCTCAGTACTACCACTATGATGTTTTCGATGAAGCACTTAAAATTGCTCGATCATTATTATTAAATAGTATCCCTGCCACCCAACATTTCTTTGAAACACTTTACTCAAATCCACTAGCGATTACTTCGATGGATTCTGTTCAGTATCTTTGGAAATCATCGTTGTCATCTTATCAATCGCAAATTTTGAAGCCAATAACATCAAGATTCGACCTTTTTACCATTGGATCGATTATATTCGATATGCTGACTGATGCTCCCTTCATGATTGTTTCTTCAGACTTGAATGAATTATCCCAATTTTGTTTTGCGTTATACTGCTTAGTTCATCCACTCAAATGGTTTCATATCTTCGCTCCAATACTTCCTTTATCAATTCTAGAGACAGTTCAGTCTCCAGCTCCATTTATTGTCGGAATACACTCATCTTTATTAAGTAAGATCACAAATTCCGATATAGAAGCGCATGTTTACATAGATATCGACTCTTTGACCATAAAAAGAGTAAATCTCCCATCAATTCCTCAATGGGTCACGAATTCAATAAATAATTTCACAGAATTCAGCCAAAAATCAGTCCATCAGCTTATACTACAGATCATCTGCACAGCCCTTAATATACATCCATCAGGATCCCCTTATTTGAACGCAAAAAAGATAATTACTTCTGTTCACGACGTAGAGCTTGAACCAGGGTCCGCCCAGTTCCAGCTGATCAATAGTCGAACAGTTCGATGCCTTCTTGACGCTTCCAAAGAAAAGCATCTTCAAAATAATTTTGTTGCGTTGCTTTCTTGTTTTACAAACTCAGGAATCATATTCCCAGCCACTCAGTTCGTTGACGAGTTCCCTTTGAGAAAGAATCAAGTTTTAAGAAGTCAATCTGTTCAATTCACAAAAACGCACCAGAATTTCAAGTCTATGTCTGTTCCTGATATTAATATGCTGTCAAAGTCCAAGCTTGAACCAAATCCATAATCTTTTATATATTTTTTGTTCATTATATTAAATTTTTTGTTTGTATTGTTTAAATTTTCACCTTTATTTATTGAAATCCAACAATAAGATAACGAATAACATATGCCAATGAAAGCATTTTGAAGAAAAATTTGAGATGATTTTAATTTTTCAAAAAATATAAGAATTATTTATTCCATAAGCATTAAAAGCTATGTATAAGACAATAACACTGCATATACGAGGACTTCCAAACAATGCAAGGTGGGAAATTTCAGATTGTTCTGATTATTTCGTGCCGAAACTCATTTTCCAGAGGAAATTCTGTAGTAATTCACGTCATGTATTAAAAATTTCTACATTGGATGTGACTTTTCTCCGGCTAATCAAAACAATGAAATCAAAATCCGGTCAAAGGGCGAAAGTCTGCCCAAATTCCGTTGGTAGGTTGCATCCCGTTTCCAGGACGCTGTGAGATTTTTGGTAAACAGAGAAGCTAATCGAAATGAAGATGCATAAATGGATGAGCTAAAGCTTCTTCAGCCGACAATCTATCATCAGGGTCAATTTTGAGCATTTGTATGACCAAATTAATGAACTGGTCTCTTCTCTGTATTTCTAATCTTTCTCTCTCTTCATTGAAGGACGAATCGACTGGATAATTCTCCAGGATATCCCTGAGTTGCGTATAAACGAAGTAAGGTTCGAAAGATTCGAATGACATATCAGGTTCTTCTTGGGAAATTGTTTGAGCAGATTTGACGGTATAGTCAGTATCAAACATCGCGTTGCGCCTTACGCTCTGCTCCACCATGTTCGTAGGGAACGGTCCAATTGTCTGCTCGATGAGGCTAACCAAGTGATATTCGTTCATTGCGGGCAGAATTGGGAGTCCGAGGAAGAGCTCACACAGGACGCAACCGAGTGACCATATGTCAATTTTTGTATCTATGTTCAGTTGAAGAACTGTTTCAGGAGCGCGATAATATCTTGTTTGGAAGTATTGCTCATAGGTATTGTTTAAAGTAATGCTGTTACCGAAATCTATGAGCTTCACATGCACAGAGAACGGATTAGTTTGTACGATATTCTCTGGTTTGATGTCGGTGTGAATAACTCCAATTCGATGAATAGCCACTAGAGCCATGAATAGATCTCGAGCTATCGTCTGTATGTTAGCAAGGGAGAGTCCTTCAAAATTCCTGGAGGCCAAGACATTGTAGAGATTTGGACCACCTAAATCTAAAATGATGCAGAGATGTCCATTATACATAAAATTATCGTGCATAAATGGAATGTAGTATTGATTGTTACCACGTGCATTTTGATTAATCTGTGTGTTAGTAAATTTTTTTTAAAAAATTCTTCGTTTTTTTTTCCAAAAAGAAAACAGACTAAAATGTCTGTTTCTTTATGTACGAAGAACTCGAAAACATACGTATTGCATAACTAGCGTTTCGTAATTAAACTGTTCTATAGAATTTTGTTCGGCCTTTGATATTTTCATGGCGAAGCTTTGGTTATTGTCGTTTTCGGAATTTCTATTCACCTCATAGACATTTCCAAAATGACCTTCGCCTACTTTATCGACAAGCGTATAAGTTACTCCTGATGGATTTGTTACTTGTGAGCCTTGATAGACAATAAACTCCCCATCAGTGTTGTCACACGAGTTAGGAGATTCTCTAACAGTGTTGGCAACAAGACATGGTCCAAGAGGTAAAGGAAGACGTGGCGGAGAACTCATTTTTTTTTCTAGTTTTTTTTATCAAAAAATTCAATTGTCACTTTTAGCTGGAAAACTTTTTTTCTGTGTTTTTGTACATCTCATATTTTTATAGTTTAATACTATTAAAAGTAGATCATGTACAAATAGTTCATGCTAATTTTCTATATTAAGTATATCTAAATCTCATCTTATTATATTATGCCAAATTTTTCCAATATAATTTGTTACGATTATAAAGTTTTACAAAGTGTTATAGATATGTCACATATATGAAATTCAAGTTCTACCTATAAAATGTATTGTTTTCGATTTCGTTAACAGGATATATTCGATCATAAAGTAATTTCTTCCAAATTAGCTGAACTATCAAATACTCATAAAAGCATTGTGAAATATTAAGAATGGTATTTGAATGAAGTTGATTTTAAGAATTATAGATATGGAGATATTTATTCTTCATTATTGGAAGGTATAGATTGAATAAAATGCAAGCCTAGACATAGATTGGATCATCTAGACAAACATGAAAATTTTGGTAATTTCAACTGAATCTCGGTAGAGAGATTTGTAAACAATTTTCTAAAAAATGAAATTTTTCCGATTTTTTTTTCCACGATCAACAAAAGACTGGGCGAGAAACGTGCTTGTATTGACATTACTTGTATGCGCGTTTTTCTTGCCGGTTGTTACTGTTTCAACTTCAAAATTTGGAAAAAATGATTCTGAAAATCGGATTGATATAGTAACAACTACAAGGAATAACTGGGAATCAATTACAATACCAAATGATATGCAAATTAATGCTACATTGTTTCAATACAAAGAGATGAAAATTAATAATCAAACTGGATGCATAGACAGGAAAAATTACACTAAAGAATTTTTAAGATTGTTCAATATAAACCCATATTCAATGGAATTGGACTTAGATTATGTTCTTATTGTTGGAAGTAACACAGAATTAGGGAGTTCAATAAAGAAATTACTAAAAAGCCAACATAAGCAATATATAGAGCTCAGTGGTATCATAAATTTCGATCCTGCCCCGCTGATGGAAATTTTATCAAATTTTTCCTCAAAAATCACAAAAGCAATCATTTGCACACAGCCAACGCAACACAGATACACTTCTAAAGGTTTTGTAAGCTACAACGAGCGCCAAACCGTGAAAACAATAAAATCTTACTGCGAAGCTTTTGTTCAGCACAGAATTCCATTTATTATTGCTCATCATCCACCTTACTCATCTAGTTTAATAGATATCGCTGAATTTTTCGAATCTCCAATAGTTTTGGTGCCATTTTTAACTGAATTTGAAGAATTTCGAAATTACGAGCATCCAATCTTCAGATCGGCCATGGAATGTTCATTAACAGGTAAAACAGAGATAGATAAATACGAAAACTACCCAGTTTCTTCGATAAAATTAAGTGAAATTGTTGTAAACGAAAACGATAAAAACGGCTTGACAGTAAAGTGACACTTTACATGGCAAAAAATAGAGCCTTACTTTTGAGATACTTGAGATTGAAACTGAATCTTATGAGGCGGTGATCTTGAATCACTACCTCATAAGGTTCAGTTTCATATAAAATTTGTTGCAATTTGTTATTCTTTTGCAAATATTTCTTATAAGATTTTACATCTTTTAGCGGGGAATGTTTGTTATCATGTATATATTATAAATATCTACACGATAACGAACATTCCTCGCTAAATTGCTGAGAAACTTTGAGGAAATGTCGAACAATTTCCTCAAAGTTTCTCAGATTTATATAGATCACTAGAGTCCCCTAGGAACTGATTCTGGTTCAGTACCTAAGAGGCTCTAGTTCTCTAACGAACTGATAAAATGTTTTTAAATTTTTGGATATTGCTACCTGTGAAGCACTGACTTCAAGTCAGTACCTCACAGGTAGCAATTACATTGAAAGATGGGAGAAACTTTGTCCGAATGTTAAACTATTCGGACAAAGTTTCTCCCATTTGTAGTGGAGATGGAAGGCTTTGAGGTATATTGTATTAATATATACCCAAAGCCTTCCATCTCCACTTGAAAGTTCCAAAACTTTGGGTTAATAGTTTGTAATTAACCCAAAGTTTTGGAACTTTCTAGAAGGAATTGCAGGGTAAGAGGTACATATTCATACTATGTACCTCTTACCCTCCAATTCCTTCCTTAACATAAACAAATTTGGAGTTAATTGTTTCCAATTAACTCCGGGTTTGTTGACCTCCAAATGAAAATGAAAGGGTAAGAGGTATATAGTGACCCTATATGCCTCTTACCCTTTCATTCTCATTAATTATGGGAGAAACTTTGGCCGAATGTTAAATTATTCGACCAAAGTTTCTCCCATTTTTTGAAGGGATTGGAGGCTATGAGATACTGATGCAATGTCAGTACCTCATGGCCTCCAATTCCATCCTGAAACTGATCAAAGTGGACCTTACATGCATTTGAAATTTGCCATGTAAAGTCCACTTTTTGAGAGAGAGGATTTGACTGCGTCAAATCCTCTTTTTCGTTTACGAGAAAATTTCAAATTTCATTTTAAACCACGAAATGAGTCGAAGAAGATGTGTTGAACGTATAATATCTGAGAATTCACTATCTGTTGAAGAGATTCTAACTGAAAATCTCAAAAATTGTTCAATAATTTTTAATAATAATTTTAAATTTGACAAAGACAAGATAAATGAGATCAAAACAGTCCAACTCAAGGATGTATCTAATATTAACAAGCTTGCGAAGACGAATATCCAGAAAATACTCCAAATAACTCATAAAAATGAAACTTTTTTGTCAATTGTTGTTTCTGGGCGAAATGACAACTATTTCAAGGGAAAATTCATAGATATCATGCAGAGATTCATTGATGTCATTGACAAATCCCTGGAAAAAGTCCCTCTTTCGCGAATTGAAGTCGTAATTGTTGAATATAACAATAATTCAACGAAAGGTTTATCAGAAGTACTCAAAATAGGCAAAAACCTCCATGGAAAGACCAAAATAGTCAAAGTTTCACATCAAAACCATCTTGAATTGCAAAAATTGAATAATTTTAAAGAAGATTTTGACTCAAACCAGGCCAAAACCATCGGAATCATGAAGTCTAGTGGTAAGTTCGTTCTTGTGACTAATCCTGACATCATTTTGCCCATAAATTTTTTAGATTATACAACTGATGACAATTTCGTTGATGGCGTTGTATATTTAGCAAATAGGATTGATCTGATCAATACGTATGCACAGAAACTGCAGCTAGATGATGTTTTTGACCTTGTTAACTCACCATGGAAATTAGATCAAAGCGAAAACGCGGCTCCTTTCTGTATTTCGGAGACATTTGGTACTTACGTGATGAGGTCCATCAATGACTTCAGACAGAACATTGTCTGCAACTCAAGAGACTTCATTTTGGCGAGTAAATCGATGTGGAACGCCGTGAAAGGATTTCCAAAGAAAGAAAAAAACAAGGACACAAATGCAAGAATTCTTTCAAACTTCATGAGACTTGCAAATGGATTTACTCTGAAGTTTATGAATGATCCAGTGATAGAACTAAATATTGATGAGCCAAAACCAATAGAGAACATGCCTGACTTCTCTCCGCAAACAAGGAAATTGATTTGCAAGGGAAAGGGCGACTTTTATGTATTTAACCATGAAAATTTCGAAGAATTTGTTTTGTAAAAATTTGAATTTTATCACATCTTTTTTTTAGACATTATGGATGCTTCATTATAATGTTCTTGTTCAATGACAAGACATATGTCTGCAGAGTAATATCATCATTGATTAGATTACATTAATCTAATTAAAAATAAGTTATTTTGTTATCAATCAGTTCTAAAAAAAGTGGAAATATATCAATTTTTTCATTTTTAAAATAGATAATGGTGATAAATGCCTTTATCAGAGTATTCCAATCATTATCATGTTGGTAGTCGAAATCAAGAAGCTGATAAGTCTAAATACTCCATTGAAACTTTACTCATTTGAGAAATATATTGATTTGGTATCAATTTTTGAAAATGGAAGAACGGCGGATATTATTGCATCATCAAAGATGAATTCAGTAACAACCTTGTATATGAGAAATATATTAAAGAAACTACCGGTGTTATTGAGAGCATCAATCCTAATTGTACACAGAATGATTCTGAGAAAAAATTCGACTAAAAATGATGAATAACATATGAAGCTTTTTATCACTAAGAAACATGGATAATAAAATACTTTGAATTCTATAGTTCCTTTACCTAGAATGCATAGCATACAAGCATCCGATGTATAGAAACACAAAGCAATTTTTCATTCATCTGGTGTCAGACGTGGTTAACTGGTGTCCAATTAATAAGAGTATAGGAGTTATAATTTCCTTAACTAATCTATAATTAGAATCAATATCCATGAAATAAAGATTTAAGATTGCAATTAATGTAATCTTGAAATATAAAACATAATAATGGTGTTACTTGAATATTCAAGATGCAAATCCTATTTTGAAGTCAGTTGTATTAAGAATATTGAATTGATTTTAGATGAGAACTGTTGGGGATCACGATAATAAAAAAAATTATTTTTCAAATGTTTTTCACGCTTTTTTCAACTTCTTATTCATGGACTGAAGAAGCTTTGATGCTTGGAACAGAGTTCATGTTCAGACAGTTCGATCCTGCCAAGCAGGCTTTCCTCCGCGCTTTTAATCAAATTAACGAAAAATACGACCCTCCTTGCGTTGCCGGCGGATGGCTTGCACGTGTTGAATATGCTCCAACAAACACTAAATGCTTCAATCATTGGAGATTCGTACAAACTCCAATCAATGGTTCAGATAATTACCACAGAAACAAAGACGATTTAACAGTTCAACTCAATGGCCTTCTCGGCGGCCTTATAAATAACACAATCACAGATAAATGGGCTTACAATTTTGCTTTCAAAGTTGCATCAGCTTTATTTTTCGAAGCTTTCTCCCCATTACACACATCAGAGCTCTTCGACAACGACAGATTCAAGGATGGTGACGATAGCGGCAAGAAATACATGATCAAATACCAAGGAAACGAGATGTCTTTATTAGATTTCTGGGATTCAGGCTGCGGACGCTATACACGCCAGACACCATATACAGAAACACAATGGACCGATTTCTACAAGAATGTTGACTACATGCTCCTCAAATTCCCAAGACCTTCTTGTAATGTCAACATTACATGGCAAATGGCAGTTAACGATACATTAAATGTAACAAACACCGTTGTTTACCAAGGAATAAAGTACAGCCAAGAGCTCAGCAAGGAATATATTGACAAATGCATTGAAATTACAGATGAAAGACTTGCATGTGCTGCTTACAACTACGGAACCCTCGCAAAGACATTTATTTTACCATCTGCTGTTACATATCCATCAAAACACCCCGTTTCTACCTCAGAAATGGCTGCATGGGCAACATTACTCCTTTTGTCCGCTACTTTCGGATATCTCGCATGGTATCATAGATCTCTCAAGCGCTAAGCTTGATATTCATAACTATCTTTATTATAAACTCCTCTTTTATGTTTTATTTTATATTTTCTAAAAAAATTTGCATTTCTTTACGGTATGTTTTTAATATATCATATGTACTACAATAAATTAATATATATATAAGTTCATTTCGCCAAATTTGACAAATCATTCCTGTTTTTTTTTCATAGGAGTAAAGAATTTATACACAATTGTTGCGAGTATTTGTATGCACATAGAGTACATCGTATATACAAGATCTCATAAATTCTCGCTCAAAAACGTTTCAATTTGATTGGAACTATGATAATCAGACTTTTAGATCACTTGATATTGAAATTACAAAAATTTATAATTCCTTTAATGGGTATGGTATGTTGGATGTAGAAAATTGTTGCTATTATTTCAGTGAAATCAGAAAAAGATTCAGTTTATGCGTCAAGAACTGTAATAGGGCTGCATATTCAATCATTTAAGCTAGCCACCTGATAACTATACAAACTCGTTGATATTTCATTCCGCTCGCTAAAAATCTATAAAAAAATTGACAATTTTTCAATGAACATTAAACCGTTTTTAATTTGGTCGGCCAAATTTTAGAATATCCTGGGAATTTGTATTCCCAGGATCGGATATTAATGAAGAGCATTATAACAACGGCACAGAGTTTTTTAGGTCAAAACCATTAAATTATTTTGTTTCCAATTGTTTTTTTCTTGAATTAAGTCCAAACGGAGCTGTTAGAATTTCTTCAACAAATGATAACGTTAAAACATATACAGAAACGAATAAATTTGATTCCTGTTCCTCCGGATCACAAAATGGAGGTTCTCTCTACTTTTACAACAAAGGCGAATTTGTTCAAGCAAAAAATTCATACATAAAATCAACAAATAAAGCTACGAATGGCCCAGCATTTTCAATATTTGTTTCAGAACAACCTAATTACAAAAATCATGCTAATGAAACTACAGTTTACAACTGCGGAAGTTCAGAACAAGACTGCAGATGTTTAACTACCATGGTGTATGGTTTTTGTATCATGAATGAATGCAACATTACACAAAATAGAGTCAAAGAAGATAAAGGAGGTTATTTAGTTTCAAAAATTACCTCTGATTCATACATAACTTGTGTCAATGTTGTTGAAAACAATCAATCATCAGGTACTTTTAATTACCACGCATCACATTCATCTTATTCTTCATCAAAATTTAAAGTTACTTCATGTAATTATATAAGAAATAAAAGTCCAAATGAAGGTTCTCTGATTTATTCTGCGTCTGATGTTTTCATGAGTTATTGTTGTATTCGTCAAAATGAAATTAAATACATTTTTAAGGCATATTCAACAATAACATTTGAATGCTCAACTACAGATAGCAATAAATCATATGAATATGGGTACTCCCCAACATTTAAGAACACAGATATTTCATTTGAAAACGAACATCCTCTTTTTAATTTAGAAGTTGTCGATTCATTAAAGTATAAATGTCGTCATCCCACTCCAAATAATGACGAAAACGAAGATAAAGTTTATGTTAGAAATCATATTAAATTTTTCTATTTATTTTTGTCTCGTAAACGATTTCGAAGTCAAACTTAATTTTAATTTTTTATTTTTTACATATGAAATAATCATATACACATCCAAATACCATATATATAATAGATAACTATTCATGATAGATTTTTCGTGCTCTTTCATATGAGAAGTCAGTTTCAAATGCATTCTTCATCAATAGACCATTTATTCGTGAGAATGAAATTCATTAAATCTTTTAATATGGTACTGTACACTAGCAATATGGTAAAGTTTTGCTTTGTTGGCAAATCAATATCTAGAACGAATTTCATGCTCAATTTCTTTATTACTTTGCTTTTGCTTTTATCAGCATACTTAGAAATGAAACTAAATTAAACTGTTTTAAAGCTAGAATTGGTGTTAATTCTATTGTATGCATCATATTTTTAGAAAAAATATCTGAATCAGCAAGAACTATAAATATAGTAAATCTTGTTTTGAAATGAATTATAATGTAATTTTCATTTTGGCAATGGCGGTATAAAGTATTGAAAAAAATTGGACTGAAAATGGCAAAAACAATTTCAATACAAAAAATGAACGACAAGATACTGAAAGTCATCAAATCAGACAACGCAGATGATCTTTCACTGTTTTTCACAAATGGTATGGATATTAATACACGTTTACCTCAAACACACTTCAATAATGTCGAAATGTTCAAAGAATGTCCACCATTACACTGTGTGGCAGCATTCTTTGGCTCAATTCGTTGTCTCAAGTACTTATTCATGAATGGAAGCGACTTATTACTTAAAGACAAGAAAAATAGGAGTATCATTCACTTCGCAGCAGCAGGAGGATCTTTAGAAATCGTCAATTTTCTTTCTGGCATCGTTGTAGACTTAGACTGGAGTATTCAAGATTCATATGGTGATACGGTTATCCACTATGCAATCTTTTATAACCATCCAGACCTCGTATATTGGTTTTGGTACCAATATAACATGAACTTATCAGTTCCAAACAAAAGAAAAATGACTCCTCTACACCTTGCCGTTGTATCCGAGAACGTTGATTTAATCGAGTTCTTATGTAAAAATGGAAGTAATGTAAATGCAAAGAACGTTCATTCCTATTATATGACATTCTGCTTTACCAAACAGAGGCATTCACTTTAAATAAAAGTAACTCCGCTACATTTAGCCGCAAAGAATCCGAATATTGATATTGTTTCGACTCTTATTAGTTTTGGAGCGAATCCCGAATCACGTGATAACACAGGAGTTCTCCCATATCAGTACGCAAGTTTAAGTGGATTTCAACATATCCAAGGCTTCTTGCTTTCCTGCTATTAATCGCTTAACTCCGATTAGGCTGGAAACATGATTTATTAATATATGACCTGTTCTTAGAAGCAGAGTTGTTGCAAAAACAAAAAATTATAAAAGTAAAATTTATTTTTAAACGACCAATCAGATTTTCGACCTTTGAAACATATCACAATAGAATTAGTACACTATTTGAAACTCATATTTCACATGATGTTTCGAGATTGAGGTTAAAAAATCAAAATTATATCTTCCTTCTTTGCCCCAACAATTCTGATATTGAACTAAATCTAGTTCAAGACTTGACAATAATTATCTATATCGCATCTAAGAATTTGTATCATATTGAAGGATAATTTTCTAATTTATTTTGAACTATTGCATATCTAACATATCACATATTTCCTCATAACCAATACATGGTTTTAATGATAGACGAAGGCTATTTGACAATATCAATCCTTATTGAATCTAAAATATCTTATAGATAACTTGCTCATTTTGTGTTCATTATTACATACATCATATGAATAATAAAACTAGATCATTTTATATTTTATTTTCTCATTCATTTTTGGTGCGTTGAGCGCCAAAGTTTACAAAAACCGCTATTTTTTGATGAATCCTAATTATGTAACAGAATTTGCACGAAAACCATATTTACAACCCGATCCAGGCAATAATCAGCCATTTACGCCACCATATAGCTATGGAGATAATACAAATTCGATTTTATGCAATGATCCTTATCAAAATGTTCCTCTGTTGAATGATCTTGATCAAAAGTTCCAAAATTTAGAAAGAAATACACCACAAATGATTCGCCTTCAAGATCAAAGGCTAGATCCTGGTCCACAGCGATATGTACATGATGGAAGCGTTCCGTTATGGATGGAAATGCTTGCAGACACCAAAATACATCCATATTCACTTTGTCCGTTCCCCAAATTGGAGGAGAAGGACCTAACATACGTATTAGAAAACATTTTTGATCAAAACGTTTCTCCTGATCGCGCTGCATGGGCGTTACACTACATTATCAAGAAAATCGGTACAAAGATTGATCTTACTAAGATGCTTTTAGAATTTGAAAAAGTTGACGAACATTATTTTGCAAAAGTCTGTTTCTACTGTTATCAGGATAATTTATTAGACCATTTGGAATTCCTTCAAGGAGCCATCAGCAAATTGCAGCCGGAATCGCTTAAAATCTTCAAAAACGAAATTTTAAGAACTCACGTTTTAACTGTCGCAGCTTTTACCTCTAGCATTGATTATTTATCAATAATGGACGAGCAATTACTTCTACAGCAAACTCACCTCATACAGCTCTCTCTTTTCTATCATTTGGGTCAGAATTTTACTCCTAAGCTGAACTTCCCGTTTGGACCAAAAATCGATGACCTCATGATGAGAAATGACCTGCTAAAGAAGAGAGCACGCTCCGTTTATCAGATTGTCACTCCAAGATTATTATCCCTCGCAACACAGCTCTCAAACATCATTGTCGCTTCATATCCGTACTACGATGAGGCCAAAACAAGCCTTGCCATCGAAAGCGCGGCTATTTACGCATCGGATGAGGCTTGTTCGCAAGTTGCGATAAAACTCTTCGAAATTTTGTTCTGGTTCGAGGGCGAAAATGCTGAGCTTTCAAGTATAATCGTCTGGACCCTCACAAAAATTCAAGTCAAAGAATTCGATCTCCCATCTCTCGTAGATTTCTACTATGAGCATGTTGATCAGATCTCCAAACTTCGCCACTTGTTCGCTGAATTGCAGGCGTTCGGGTTGGTAAGCTATACGTCCTTTGTTTCTTACATTATTCAGGCTGGATACATTTTGACAAGACCACAAGCTACAAGCGTCATTATTTCATCAGTACCATTTTACGTAAGGTCTCCAAGGGCTATGAAACTCTTCGAATCTTGCATGTTGAAGCTTGGAATTACTGGATACGATCAAATTGTCCGCGAAATCACAGTAAAACCTCTCGAACTTACAATTTTGGCTAATATGGATAAGGTCAAGCAGCTTCCTTACCCTGTTATCTATAGTATTGTCTCATATGCGATAAATGAAACGAAACACGTCTCAGAAATCATCGACGTCATATCCCAATTGAATCTAGATACATTATTCCCACTACTTTTCGATAAGATTACTGATTCAAAAGACTTGAAATTCTCTATTAACACTCATATCATGCCAAGAGTTCAGAATTCGCTTCCATTTTTGGTTTCTCATGGACAGTTTTCGAAATTCATCGACCTTATTACACAGAATTCAAGCGATCCTGTAATGATGGATATTATTTTGTTTATCTACGAGCATTACAAGGATATTCCACGCAGACCCGAGTTGAACGAAATATCTAAGACCGCAAAAGGCGTTTCTATCGACTCTACAAAGATCAGAGAACTTTTCAGAAGATTTTCTTACTTATGCAGCCTCCATATCTTCGATGCCTTCCACAATGTCGAAACCACGCATGATTTCGAATTAATCTTCCGCACATTCCTCTCCCAACTCCTTCATTTCCACTCTTTGAAATCTTCGACCATGATAAAATTCTTCCTCGAATTTGCTCAGTCAGGATGTGTTACCTTACCTCCTAATTTCTTTATAAAGCATTTATTGGCTGTTTTACTCACTTTTCCCGAAGAAGATTTCGATGATCGTTTAAACCTTCTTTTGCAAGATTTCTTCACTTTCATCTTCGAGAAGGGACTTTTCCAACCAGCAAACTTCCTCGCGGAGTCCAAGAAACGCCGCGGAAGTGCAAATTCTTCTCCATTCGGCAAAATTGCCAATATTTTCCTCACAATCTGCAAAGCGCGACTAGATTTATTCACCCCTCTCAACTGCTTCTCATCCAATTCCATCAAAGGCTATCAAGGAGAGCCAATGTTAACAGAATTAGTAGATGTCCTCAAGAACGCTCCACTTCCACAACTAACAGATGATGTATTAAAGTCCTTCGACAATATGACCCTCGCCGGAACCTATTTCGCGTTACTTCCCGAAGAAGCTCGAGATCCAAACTTCGAAAAGGCCTTTGAGTTCTTCAAACAGAACGCGAACGACTCCAACTGCAGGCTCCTTGCATACTGGCTCAAGTACCACCTCTATTTCTCCGGTCCTCCGAGTCAAGGATTACCTCAACCGATTACACCGGACAAACAGGCCACGACCAAGTTTGCCAGCACCGTCGCACTTGCCTTTTACAATCTGTTCATGTCTCTTTCGCCAGAAAACGAAGCAGACATGAAAAGGAGAGATGTTTTCCTAAATGCGTGGTCGTTGATCTGCGAAAAGGACTTTTCCAGGTACAAGACCCCTATATTCGCCAACGCCGCCCTTCAACAAGCCACGAATGCCATCAAAGCCTCAAATTTAACTTATACACCTTTCCTTGTTGACTATTTGCACCCGGCATTGATCTGTGGCGTCAGTTCTAACCAGAACGAAATCCTTGTTGATACTCTTTTGGCCGCTCCTGTGCCACAAGACCAGCAAGGACCATTTTTCTACACGGCCGCGTCAGTTTTCGTATCGTACATCTACAGACAGACATTTCCAATACAGACACGTATCGAAAACACCGCTTGCAGGCTTTTGGAGTGGATATATTCTGTATCCGAACAAAGATCTCGCGGATTCGACTTCCTTTTGGACTCCCTCAACTTCATCACGTGCTTTACATCGAATCTGACCCAGATAAATCAGACTTCCTACCATTTCAAACTGAGGGAAATCTACATCAAGTTGCCGGAACAGGTTCGGAGCATAATAATCCTCAATATACCTCCTCAGGCATTCGAACCAGACAAAGAACCATTGTTCTTCAACGTTACAGCTCCTGAACCAGTAAATCTTCAACCGCCACAGATGCAGATGCCACAAATGTCGATGCCACAGCCAATGCCAATGCAGCCACCACCTCAGCAACAGATGCCGATGCAGCAACAGCAACAACAACAGATGCAACAGCCAATCAACTTGCCGATGGACTACGAGATGATGAATTCTACATTTGGTGATATAGATGACTTCAACTTTGATATTTAGTTTTAGAGTTTTTGTTTTTTTAGATTTATTTTTGTTATATTTTTTATTTTTTGTGTTATATATATATTAATATATCTTATTGGATTGATTTATTTTATCGTTTTGTTTTAAAGTAAAAAAACAGAGAAAAAAAACTTTTTAAATTTTTTTTGAAAAATATCAAAAAGAGTTAATATTTGATAGTGAACTTTTCGTAATATAAAAGGTACATTCACTATTTTTGACAAAATTTTAAATTTTCATGGGGTTGTAAATCTTATAATAACTAGATGAATAAGGAATAAATCCCAGTATGATGTGCATCATTATATTAAACACTATATGTAAGGCTGGTGATTCTATTAACACTTATGAAGATCTATAGTATTTGAGCAGATAAATTTGATAATTTCCAAAACTCTTATATTTCAAAATTAAAGTGTGCAAAAGCATTTAAATGAGAGCAAAAAGAGAATGATGCTGCTAAAACTAGGTGTTAAATTCCAATTATTTCGCATCACAAGAACTACCCAGTAAATTCGGCCATCTTTTTTTGCAATTATTCTCTATTACACATATAATATAATGGTTAGGGTTTGGGGAAAAGTTACTAGAGAATTATTGACTTTTGAAATAATGCAGAATTTTACTTGAAGAAATCATTAATTTATGAGTTCCAAATTGCTAACCATGACGAAGATCATTAAATTTGCTACAATTAAATACATTTATTGCAGAATTAAGATTATTGAAATTAAAAATTTGAAATATTGCCTTTTTGAATAAAAATTTAAATTTGATTATATAATCATGATAATATATTAGAGAAATTAAAAGAAAATATTTTAAACAATTCAAATATTTTGAATGTCTTATCAATTTAAAATATTAAAAGATTGCTTGATTTTATCATCATTAGTTGTTATCAAAGTTTTCTTCTTTTGATGAACAACAGTAAATGATTTGTTAATACCTTGTCTTCCTTTTACGCAGCAAAATCAAAAGGTATGATGATAATCTTGTACTCAATTTTGAAACTCTCTGATTTACAAGTAAGCATTCCTTTGGAAAAGCAGTCCTATTCTGTTTTCAAGATATTTTAAAGCCCCCATTTCATACAATGCGCAGATCTATTCGAAATTGCAAGAACTCTCAAGAAAAATGCTGCAGCAAAGAAGATTCCAAAGTTTCTAGCATCAAAAATTTACAACCTTAATACAACAGTTCAAGAGAAGCTCGATAAGAAAATATGGTTCTGAATTTTTTTCGTATAGAAATTTTTGAAAATATCAGTATCTCAATTTCTGTCGATCAATTTTCTATAAAATTAAAAATGGTTGTGGAGCATCATGTTGTGGTCATATATTTTCATTTTCATTTTTTGCATAAATATTTCCCGCCAAAATACAAAAGTGCCATAATCTCATGGTGGACCACAGCTGGAGTCACCGCCGACTATCCACTTGCTGGGATGCTACGCAGCCTTTGATCTGGCCAATCTTAGTGCTGCTCCATCCACATCAGCAAGTGATTTCGGCGGGAGATCTCCAATCGGTCTTCCATGAGGGTTACGCAAGCCAGAAGCACAATACCTGTGCAGTCTAACTGCTAGGATATAGTAGCTAGGCTGCGTAGTTACTGTGCTTCTGTCGATATTAGTTATACGTTATTGCCCTCGTTGACTATAGTACTACTCCCTTAACCTCCGAGGGTTAGGGGAGTAAGTTTGCCTGAAATGGGCAATGTTCATTACGAAATCTCTCATTCGATGAGAGACTTCGTAATGAGCATTGCCTTAAAGTACTCTTACTACTCTTTCCTAGTTCCCAAAAGGCCTAGGATTCTGTAATTAATCGAATAGGGCAGAGTTCTTCCGAAGTCTAGTTGTGGTACTTGGCCAGCAAAGAGCGAGAGAATATGTCTGTAATTCGTTTGTGCTGAAGTTATCTGGATTTTCCTCAAATGAGGAAGGAAATCCAAATGAGAGACTTCGGAAGAACTCTGCCCTATTCGATTAATTACAGAATCCTAGGCCTTTTGGGAACTAGGAAAGAGTAGTAAGAGTACTTTAAGGCAATGCTCATTACGAAGTCTCTCATCGAATGAGAGATTTCGTAATGAACATTGCCCATTTCAGGCAAACTTACTCCCCTAACCCTCGGAGGTTAAGGAGTAGTACTATAGTCAACGAGGGCAATAACGTATAACTAATATCGACAGAAGCACAGTAACTACGCAGCCTAGCTACTATATCCTAGCAGTTAGACTGCACAGGTATTGTGCTTCTGGCTTGCGTAACCCTCATGGAAGACCGATTGGAGATCTCCCGCCGAAATCACTTGCTGATGTGGATGGAGCAGCACTAAGATTGGCCAGATCAAAGGCTGCGTAGCATCCCAGCAAGTGGATAGTCGGCGGTGACTCCAGCTGTGGTCCACCATGAGATTATGGCACTTTTGTATTTTGGCGGGAAATATTTATGCAAAAAATGAAAATGAAAATATATGACCACAACATGATGCTCCACAACCATTTTTAATTTTATAGAAAATTGATCGACAGAAATTGAGATACTGATATTTTCAAAAATTTCTATACGAAAAAAAAATTGAACCGAAAATATTTAACCATAAAGCTGGATAACATTCGATATTTACTATTGGATATAATAAAAAGTTAATTGTAACATATTTTACATGCTATTTGCTGACTCTGTTCCATTAGATTACCATATATCTGTTTGAAATCTAAAAAATTTTTACGATTTTAACCATGTGTTGCTGAAATCATATACCATTCTTAGCTAAAGTATAGTTTATGAGTCTGTCACCATCCAACTATATGAATTTTCAAAAATGTCAAATATGTTCATTTTTTCTGTATATTCAGCCACAATTTCATGTAGTTGTACTATTCAACTATTATTTAATAATTTTATCGATTTAAATATATGATGAGATGCTTAGTTCTCCCGGAAATCGATTTTTAATCACAATTTTAACTTTCCAAAAAAATTCGAAAATAAAAATCCCTCTCAATTTTCTAAGTTTTCTAACTCGCCAAATCTCTAGCCAAATTTTTTTTGCCCGTATAAATATTGTTAGGCACTATATAGGGATGCTATTTATCCTATTTTCATCCCATTTTACTGTTATCGCCTAGTGAATGTACCTTTGTAATATAGTATGCAAGGATCTCATGAAAAGAAAAATCGCAATCCTGGGCGTTTTTTTTTAAGTTGTAAAGTTATTAATCTGGATTGAGAAGCTTAATGGATATGATATAGGAAATCTAGCTTAAAATCTCTTTTTAGTAAGATATTTCTCTATAAGGAATTATTTTGTGAGTTTATTCAATTTTCTGATCCTCTCAAATTATCTTATTTTTTTTGATATTTAGAGAACAGCATTGCCTTCAATCAATGCAACAACGTTAAATCATGTCTGCTTTGTTGAGAAAATGTGTTACTTACATCAACGCTGAATGTTTTTGCTATTTTTTCAAAAAGTTCTCGTCAATGAGACTGGTTATCAAGAACTTACAGGTAATTTAAATCCAGGCCAATATGAAATTGAATGCTACGGAGCACAGGGCGGAAATTACTGTGAGGGAAACCAAATATCAAAAAATGGAGGAGCTGGAGCATACGCATATGCAAAAATTAAAGTAGAAAATCAAGCAATTCCGTATAGAATCGAAATTGGAGAAAAAGGAAAAGAAAACTGTAATAATAATATAAATGCAGGAAGTCGACCAGATGGTGGCGATCCTGGTGCCACTGATGTAAGTGAAATTCCAGGAGGCGGTGGTGGGTCCACACGAGTTATCTTAAATAATAATTATTATATTGTTGCCGCAGGATGTTCTGGTGCGACATCATTTGTTGATGGTTCCCCAGGAGGTGGAGACAATTACTGTTTTTACAAAGCCCAATCTGGTTCATATGGACGAACCAATGATAAGAGTTACATGACAGAAAATCGAAATGGAGAAAAAGGAGGCATTTTTGATCTTTTTAGCGATAAAGTTACAGGAAGTGGTGGTGGAGGGGGCTGTTTAGGTGGCAAAGGAGGTTATAATAATCCTAATTCGCTCAGTGTTGGCGTTAGCGGTTCATCTTGCATCATTTCTGACAATTCTTTTATCAAACAAGAAATTTTTGATGGACTAGAAAAACAAAATTTCGGAAATGGACGAGTTATAATCAAATATGAATATAGTTGTCCATCAGGATGTGAAACATGTAGTAATGAAAATAAATGTGGCTCATGTAAGACCGGTTACTACAAAAATGAAGGTAAATGTGTGGAAAATTGTGATTCAGGTTATTACCAAGATTCGTCTACATATACTTGCACCAGATGCACTGTTCCGAATTGCAAATCATGTTCACGAAGTCCTTCGATTTGCGATTCATGCACAGTTCCAAACTGTAATTCATGCAAATCCGATGCTTCAATATGTGAATCTTGCTCACATCCTTATGTTTTATCGGGTAATGAATGCAAACAAGAGTGTCCTGCATCTTACTTCAATGATTCTTATATCTGCAAAGAATGTATCAAGAATTGTTCGAGATGTGACAATAGCATGACATGCAGTCAATGTTATTCAAGTCATGTTTTATACAAAGGAAAATGCGAATATACTTCATGTCCTCCTTATACTTATCAGTTTGGAAATGAATGTATTGATTGCCCACCAAACTGTGAAAAATGCAGTTATGGAGATACATGTGACCTATGTAAAAAAGACTACTTCCAGAATGGTAATGACTGCATCAATTCTTGTGGAGATGGCTATTATCAAGACTCAACAAACCGAAAGTGCACTGCATGTGATGTTTTAAATTGTAAATCATGTCCAGGTAACCCTTCGGTGTGTGATTCATGCAAGTATCCTTTTGTTTTACATCAACAAAATTGTGGTCAAATAGAATGCCCAAGCCACTATTTTAATGACTCATTTATCTGTAAAGAGTGTAGCAAGAACTGTTTAAATTGCAGCTCAATGTACAATTGCACTTCATGCAAGTCAGCAAATATGCGTATTAACAAAAAAGGAAATTGTACAAATCTGATAACTGCTTCATATGATGATCTTTTTGAAATTCAGCCTGTAAAGAGAAAGATCCAAAAGAATAGAAATAATTGGTCATAATTTAATCACTTTCTATGTATTTATAGATTTTTAAGAAGGAAAATTATTATGCATGTTTTTTAATATGCATATTTCTTCTTCAATAGTAGTATAAAGACTTGATCTTGAAACTTTTATATTTCAATATAGCTCAATTAACCAAATTATGCTTAATGAGATTATTGAATTTCAAGCCTAATTTGCATATGTATTTGGAAATAATAGAATGGCAAAATCTGTTAGCTCTGATTCAAATTTTTTGTTCTGCTAGGATAAGCCTCAAAAACTCTCATTTCTTGAATACCTTCCAAAATCCATAACTGAATACATTATAGTACTTCACAATAAGTTTTAATGTTCATTTCATATATGTCATTCATATATTATCCTAAAAAACCAAATCTCTTCTGATCGGAATTGAAATTTTCCTAAGGTTTATGCCAAATTTACATGAAATGTTGATTATCTGTGTATAATAAGCACAATTCCATTTAAAACATCATCATTTACGATTATTGTTTGTAAAATTTTTGCCAAAAGTGATGTCTAGAACCCATAAGAAGTACTCGCAAAAGGAAATTCTTGAATTTAAAGAGATGTTTAAAGAGTTAGATGAAAATGGCAATGGAACCTTAAGTATGAAAGAGTTTGAAGGTTTTTTGACTGGAATTGAATTGCCATTTCAATGGTCACGTCTTGTTTTCTTCTTTTTAGATGTCAAGGAAGATGCATAGATCACATTTGATGATTTCGTTAGATTTATGGCTGCCACTGACAAACTTGCCGAAGATCCTTTATATTTGTTCAAGAGAATATTCTTGAAGATCGACAAAGATAAGAATAAGAAATTAGATAAAGAAGAAGTTAGTCAGTTTATGGCTTTGTTCGCTGGTGATCTCGGTGAAGTTGATATCGACGCCGCTTTCAAGGAAATGGACGTGAACGGCGACGGACTCATTGGATTCGGCGAACTTATGCATGCTTTAGGTCATTAAAACTATTAATTAATAAAAACACTAACAATAATTTATTCGCAAAAACAAATAAACAAAAAAAAAATATAATAAAAGAATCTTATATTATATTGTCTTGGATGAAACGACGGATAATCTCGATGTCATCGTTTTTAAGTAACTCAACAACATCTTCGAATCCACTTTTTCCGATAGATACAATAATCTTTGAGAGAACCATCCTCTTCTGCCATGAGCCGCGTGTAAGTCTTTCAACCATTGTAGCCTTGATGTTCTTTGACTGCTTCAACAAGGCAATCCAGAGGTTGACAGATTCACCTCTGATATATCCGGTTGAATCTTCAGAGAATATCTCGGCAATGCGGCAGAGTGATGAGCCAAGCTCAGGAACGAATTCCTCGCATTGCTTGAGAATGGCAAATCTTGTTCTCCAGTCGGAAATTCTTGATGGGTCTAAAAGTTCAAGAAAATCTGTTTTGTTCTGGAACCTTTCTGAGAATGAGTGGATTCTCCAAGCGAATGGAGAAAATGTCATGAGTTCACTGGCAGCTTTGATATATAGGTATTCTTCGCTGTCAATGTCGGCTGTTTTAACGGTTTCAAGGAGTGCGAGGGCTGCATCGTTCTTATCAATCTTCATTGCTTCAACAAATGCGTCGTAAAGTTGGCCAAAATTATTTGCCTTGACAACATTTGGAAAGCTTGGAAAAGCGTCGCGTACAGTATTCTGGTTAACTAAAAACTTTTTGTAAACGTTAACGAGATGTGGCGCCACGGAACCGATAATTGAGGCAACAGATTGTTGTACGCAAATTTCGGTGTCTTCTGAAGCATCAACGAGTAACTTATCAAGAGAGGAGTCTTGGCAGTTGATAAATGATATGCTAAGAATAGCAGCAGCACGAATATTTGGGTGGTCGTCATTGGCCAACGCGGATATGTAAGGAAAAATGTTCTGAGAGTCACAAACTATAGGGATAAGACGAGTTGTAAGATATCTAAGCTTTGGATCTTGAGAACTATAATACTTTTCTATGATTTCTGTTGTAAAGTCATCACGATAGTCTGAAGGAATCGAGGCACAAATTTCTTCGGCGAGCTGGGTTATATCCAATACCTTACGCTGAGATCCTGTCTGAATTGTGGAGATGATTACGGAAAATATTTCGGTTCTCATAAGGTGCTCCCCCAAATCATAGAATTTTTCGAATATTTGATGTGAAGCATCTAATATGCTAGCAAACATAGACTTTTTGTCGTCTCGAATTGCTGATTTGATCATTGGGAGTATATTGGCTTCGAAAATTTCAAGCTGGATATCTTCGTCTTTCTTGATGAGAGAGAAGGGATTGCTTGAGAAATCGCAATCCAGAGTGATATTCATGTTTGTAAATCTTGGATGATACTCCTCAACTCCAAACATGATAAATTTTTATGAAAAAAATTTTCAATGTCCAATCAAAACGATCAATAGAAATATAATGTTCTATATCATGAATAGATAAGTAATGATATTCATAAAATTTAATAACGTTCCGAAGAATCTTCTGAAAATGATTTTTGATACAGGTTTTATCAATCAGCCAAAATAAAGTTGCTACATTTTTTGCGTTATTAATAAATAACTTGGAATATTATTTTATCCAATAACTGATTGGTATTCAAAAAATTCAAAGTAGCGCTATGAAAATAGTCTATCCCCTCTCTTGAAAAATTAAGGGGGTTATTGGCCATTTTCCTAATATTGTTCACTATTATATAACAAAGCAAAATATCAAAGTAAACTTGCTTACAAAAATTGTTTCAACCATTCATAAAAAGATCAGACAATATCAGAAAAGTTATATGGCTCTGCATTTGATAAATATATTTCTTATAAGGGCTTATACTAAAATATTCTATTTATCCTGCTAAATAATGATGATTGGAGAAAATTTTGAATTCACCGTGGATGTACCGAACAGCCAATCTAGTAGACCCGCATAATCTTCATGTTTTAGCTGATATTATTCATCAACATTTTTTAATAAATTTTTATATTTGGCTTCTTCACCATTAAAATATCAGCGAATTCAACTCTATATGATTGGAACAAGAAATACATAGAATACCTATTTGTTTGGTTCCATAAATCCATCAACTGATTCTAAGTTTGATGGGGAACGGAATATTTTTTGCCGTTTTGGAGACTACCTTCAAATATATAATCACTATGTGTAACTGATCTATTGCAAGAAATATAAACTGTCTTTCTTCACTTTTATTTTTTTCAAATTATTTTAACAGCTCAAACGAGGCAAATGATTTGTGAATTATTATTGATATCTAACATATATAGTAATTATCCAATAATATCACGAAATTGCTTTTATTTTTTTGGCCATTGCCATGTAAATCCAATTTTAGTTCTATTGTGTCCATACACATCTCAAATGCATGAATATCAGCTTAATTTAAAATACATGCCAAAATATTCGCCCTTCAGTTCGTTGTGTACATAAATTTTCCGTATCTTTCAGAAAACATCTTTCAATTTTGAGTGATGACGGAATAGTTCATAAATGTCATTTTTGATATTCGCTTGACATCATGTATCGGAATAATATGACGGGAATGTGTTGAATATGAAAATCTCTGGAAAACAGGATCATCTCAGAATAAGAGTTTTTTGATATTCGCAATTGTGGTCGTCATTCTCTAGAATCAATGGTACTAATGACATTCATAGTGTTTTTATTGTCCAACTCACATGAAATTCATTTGCCAGCCCTGTAAATATATACGCCAAAATTCAAAGTTAAATATACTCATAATGTTTGGTATATTTGACTTATACTAATGTATCTGAATCGTTTTTAGCAGATAAATAATGATATTTCCCATTATAGCATCAAAGATTTTTCTGAATCAAAGGGAAAATCTTGCAATTTTTGAGTTTCAACCAAAAATATAAGTTAAATTTCAATACAATGTTTAGAATATTCAATTAAACTTCAATTCCATACACTTTGTTTGTGCAAAGTTTGAGATATTTCGCAGCTTCATCAGCATCCTGTTCAACTCCTTCACCACGCATGAGCATTAATCCATAATAATACTGAGCAAGCTCCTTTCCTGAATCGGCAGCTTTCTTCATCCACTCAGCTGCTTCCTCTAAATCAGGGGGAACACCTACACCCCCCTCTCTAAGTAATTTACCAAGGGCTAACATCGCTTTGACTTCTCCAAGCTCCGCAGCCCTTGCGAAATATTCCCTGGCCTCTCTGTCATCCTTTTCTACGCCATCGCCTTTGATCAACATTGTACCGTAATTAAACATTGCTTCTTTAACGTTTGCATCAGCAGCTGCCTTATAATACGAAGCAGCGCTGGCTTTGTCTTCACGAATACCGTTACCTTTGTCCAAAGCAAGTGCGAAATTGTACTGAGCTGGGGCAAATTCGTTATCTGCAGCTCTACGATAGTATTGAACGGCCATTTCAGGGTTTTTCTCAACGCTGATACCGTTGTTAAGGTAGTATCCATATGTAAACATGGCTGGAGCGTATCCTCCGTCTGCAGCTAATCTCATGTATTTCGCTCCATGAACTGTGTCTGCTGCCAATACTCCGGGGACTCCGTCGCAAAGGAGTTTTCCGTATGTATATTGAGCTGGGAAGAAGTGGTTATCAGCTGCGGATTTGATAAAGCGAATTCCTTCTTCTTTGTCTGTATATCCTGCATCACCTGTGAATATGAGGTTTCCGTAATGGAACATGGCCTCTACGATTCTTCTTTCTGCACATTCTTTGAAATATTTTGTTGCTTCTGGGAGATCTACGTCTACGCCAACGCCATCTTTAAGTACCATCGCATATTTGAACATTGATGGTAAGTAACCTTTCTTTGCGGAATTTTCGTAGTATGGAATGGCATCTTCGATTTCTTCATCAGGAACTTCGTTGTTCATAATCATTTCTGCATATGTATATTCTGCTGGTGTGAATTCTTTATCAGCAGCTGTCTTAATGAATTTAATTGCATGTTTTGAATTTGGATTTATTCCTTCTCCTTTTTTAAGCATCATTCCATATTCATAGCATGATGCAGCATGCTTCAAATCAGCTGTTGACTTGAAGTATCTTGCAGAAGCAAAGAGATCTTTGTCCATAAATAATCCATGCTTTGCTGCGATACCAAGACCGTATCCAGCATATATGCATCCTTCCTTATATGCGTTATTATAAAGTTTAACTGCTTTGTCAGCATTTTGTGTCACACCTTTTCCGGTGAATAAGATATTTGCAAAGTTATTTTGAGCTTCCGGAAGACCTTGTTGGGAAGCAATGTCGAAATAATGTGTAGCAGCGAATAAATCGGTTTTAACTTCTTCGCCTGCCAAATACAAAGCTCCTAAATTGAAAGTTGCAAATGGATTATTAAGTTTCTGTGACTTAATTAAGAGCTCTAAAGCTTTTTTAACATCTTTCTTGAAGTAACGACCATTTATTAATAAAATTGCCATGTTATTCCATGCAGCACTATCTTCTTTTTCAGCCATTTCCCTTATTTTATTTGCATTATCTTTATTTGTAGGCAATGTTATAGCTGAATCAGGAATAAGCTCTGTAATATACGGTGGATCGATCTCTTCAGTCATAACTAATTCTGTTTATTGTAAAAAAAATCTCTTTGCGTTAGAAAATGTAAAATATCTTAAATTGGCTCTTTTTGTCTGATATAGACTCTTCATGAGATATGCTAAAGAATTTGCCATATAATGTACTGCATATCTCTTGTATTTTTTTTTGTAAAGTGTTTACATTGTCAAAAGTTAGATGGGTTAAAGTTCAATATAATTGTGCATTGAATTGTTTCGGCGAATGGTTTTGCTATTTTTGAATCGCTGATGATTTATATTGTTCACAAAGGGTTACGATAAAAAAATAAACGCGTAAAATTAACCATCAAATTGAATGGAAAAACCGTTCGATCATCATTCAAATTCGATTGCATGATTGTTAGTATAAGGAAACTATATATTATAAAGATATTAGCATGAGGGGATTTTAAAAAATTTTATTTGAAAAAGTGGTTATTTGAGTTGCTTTTGAATTTTAAAAATTCATAATGTCAATTGATACACCCCTTATCGATAAAGAAGAAACCTCAACAGTTACTGAAGAGTCCACTTATACAGGTTTCATCGAGTCTTCATTCAATATGATCAATACTTGCTTAGGCGCAGGCATCTTATCTATCTCGAACTCTTTCACATTCTGCGGACTTATTCCATCGACGATCACCCTTTCATTGAGTGCTCTCTTCTCATACATATCTGCTCACATGATCATCAAAATGCACACCCTTTGCGGAATAAATTCGTTCATGGAACTATCAGTCAAGATTGGAAAATTTGGAAAAATACTCACTGACATCTCCGTTATCCTGTTCTGTTATTCTTGCATGATTGCTTACGTTATTATGAGCGTTGAAATTCTCCAAAGTTGGTTCATGCTGGCAGGTCTCAACCTCAAAAGTTTCTGGCGTCGTACAGTTACAGTTATTGTTTTCTGCTTTGGACTTCCATTCATGTTAACGATTCCACGCAATATTAAGTTCCTTTCATCAATTTCATTCTTCTGCGTTATCGCCGTACTTATGTATTTCGTTGGATTGGTTTACAAAGGAATTGCCGTTTTACCAAAAGATGGAATTCATCCAACAACTGAAACATACAGATTCAATATGGGCATATTTAACTGCATCGCTGTCCATTTCTTATGTTTCTCCGTTTCTTGCCTCATTATTCCAGTCGTAAAAGTAATGAGACCAAATATGGGACATAGAAGCTTCACTTAGGGCTTGAACTACTTCGTTTGCTACTTGATTGCCCTTATTCCTGCGGTTATTGGCTATCTTATGTTTGGACAGACATCTCAGCCACTTATTCTTAATAACTTTGAAGATTCAGACCTTCTCTTCATCATTATTAGAATTGCTTGCTTCATCGTTCTCGTTGCGACATATCCAATTGTAGGTTTGACCTTACTCACCAATTGGTCAACACTTATCTACAAGACTGAAGAGCACTTAGAGCTTCCTTGGACAAAGCGAGGTGTTCTTTATATCCTTGAGAACGGTTTGCCCCTTTTGCTTGGCATTTTCTTGCCAAATGTCAGACCAGCTTTATCTATTGGTGGAGCGTTTGGAGGAGGAATCACAAATTTCTTCCTTCCACCACTCATGTACATATTTGTCTACCAAAAGACAAAGAAAGACGTGATGTTCTGGGTTATGGCATTCTTCTCCGGACTCGGACTCGTTTTTGCAGGAATTTCTACATACGAGTCTGTTATTGATGCTATCAATGCATTCAAGAGTCAGTCAATATAATTGTTTCTTTTTATATTGTGATTATATAAATATTATATTAATTCGGGATATCTTATTCTAATGAAAATTCCTACAAATCCAAAACAAAACAAGCTAATTAACATATAAATTTTAATAAACAATATATTCAAACAAAAAAATAAAGTAATTTTCTATAATTTCCTATGGAAAGATTGTTGGTTTGATTTGACCTTTGGTTGGATGATCTTCTTACTATGTATTATCGAGTTTACCTTCTTATCTTTCGGAGTATTTTCGCTAGATGAATGTGGTGATCGCTCTGACTGTTGCTGTTGGCAATTAATCATAATTGGCTTATAAGTTGAAGGTATTTCTCTTGGAAGATTCCAACAATTTCCAATTTCAGAAGGAAGAGACATTGAAAGTTCGTAAACTGCATTCCATTGGCTTCTTTCTGGTGAAGGATTAGGGAATACGTGCACAAACTTTGTATTTCTTTCTGCATTTTGTCTTTTATTTAGGGAATCTTCTCCGATATTCTTATGTTTGGAGATATAAATCTTCCATGAGTCATTATGTATTGGATGCTTCATTTGTCTAACGGCTTCTTCAGCGCTTTGGTGTGGAAATGCGATGGACATCAGTTCTTTAAGCATTTTTATCTTTAGATTCTTTTCTGCCTGTGTTCCGTACTCAAGTGATGGTCTGTAGTTGACTTCCAATATCCATGGTTTCAAATTTTCATCCAATAAAACATCAAAACCGAGAAGTTGGAAGCAGCGGGGGTAACCGATCATTGGACATTGATATCTAGATCCATTCATGATGAAAGGAGCAGCAGAAAGAACTGTGAGCGCCATCGCATTTTCGATATCAAGCCAGAGCTTATCGATATTAGCGCCTTTGCGTTTGAGATCTGCAAATACATCTGAAACTATATGTGTAATTGATTCTGCTGTAACAGATGGATTTTTGATATTTACAGCAGTATTTGTCAATTGACCGAATTGGTTGCCAGAATTTGCTGGAGCTGAGCAAAACCTTGCAATGCCATCATGGTACACATAGATTTCAGGCTTTTCTGCAGCAATTACTAAGCAATAAATTCTCAAATCAAATTTATATCCATCAATAAGATATGAATTCTTGTATTCTTGAGCTACTGATAGATGGTTTGTCACTTGGTACTGATCGCTTGGATTTATTACTACGATTCCCTGTCCAAGGGCGCCATTATCAGGTTTTACAATGTAAGTCTTGTTGTGTTTATTAACCTGGGACATAAACGGTTCTTTCTGAAGAGGTAAAATATAACTTTTAGGGAGAAAAGTGAAATTACTCGGGAAAAATTTTTGAATTCTTTGAACTGCTCGAACGAAAGGTGCTTTCCTGCAAATTATGTTTACGTTTGGAAGTCTGTTGACAACTTGCCATGGCGTTAACGATCGAAAATAATCTTGATCTTTTATTGTATCCCACCAAACGCAAATAGCATCATTGTCATTTTCTTTGTATGGAATACCTAGTTCTTGCATAGCTATCCTAACAACTTCATAGAACGAGTGTCCAGAAGTTGAAGAAAGCATTTCTCAAAGAAATTCTTTTGTACGTTACTAAATGCTTCAAAAAATTGCAAAGAGATTTTAGAACTATCAAAACCAGTAAACAACAGTCCTTTGGATTCTCGAAGATACAACTTACTAATACCACCTAGTTCATGGATTCCTATTTGCAGTCTTTATGTATGGTGAGTTCAATAAAAATTTTTAGAAATTATCGATATTTAAAATTCTTCTCTGATTTATATGTTCATCAGTTCGATAATTCCCATCAATTATTGTCTAAGTTAGTATTTTCAATAGAATTACTCCAAATTTTGTCAATATCCTAAATTAAACACTTTATTTCAATTGAAGCATTTGAAATATGATGTTTCAGATGTTGCTCTTCTTTTGTACCTTTAAATATCTCGTGAGCCCCATGCGAGAAGTCTTCGATCGTAATCTGAGTTTATAAATGATGGAATTCCCGAGTTTTTCCATTCTTTTCTTGAAATATAACCCTTGTTGATGAAAAGTTGTTACGACTGTAATGCTGATATCGATATTTTTCTTAATTTGGTTTTAAAATTTTGCGAAAACCCATATTTTTGGTCATGAGTTCCTGATATATCATTGAATTTGGTCCCTATTTTTATAAAATCTTTGATGGGGTGTAAAATGAATTCCATTTTACAAGCGGATAACAAAACCATTTTTGAATTGAATTTTCAATTTCTGAAATTATTGATTTTATATTTTTGGTCTTCACAAGTAAAATAGAAATATTTCAACGAAATGTAAAACTATGCTCTTTCACAAAATTTGCGGTTATGACAGTTCTATAAAATGAGTTTCATTGCTGAATATCAGCTTCCCCTAGCCAAAGCCAATATACTTCATATTAAGAGGAAAAACAGAGATATTGCAAAGTTCCGGAATGAATTAAAGGGCTTTGTCAATGAATCTAATTTTCAGATACAATACAACACTCCAAATGGAACATTCACACCAGATTGGGCAAAGACATAGAAAAAGAAAAATATTATTAAGGTCGATCTTCCAGAAAATGAAGAGGAAAGGTATTTCATAATGTATAACAACGCCAAACAATTTACAAGAATGGTACAAAAGGAGAAATTCATGGAAGCAGCTTTTTCGCGTGCTTATGATGATCCTCCTTCAAAGAGTGTTTATCTTTTCCAAGATTCTCTTACTAAAGAGAATGTTACTGACCTTCGAAACAGTACTATGTCTAAGTTATCTGAAGGGCATTCATCTGAAAAAGGAAGTGATGAATCTCAAGATTTGATCAAAAAGGAATGGTCAAAAGGAGAATTACCAAATGAACAGTTTGTTGATAAGATCAATCCGATAAATAGAGCAAGTATGGTTGCAAACTAATTTCAGCAAAAAAAAATCAACATATTTCTTTTATTATTGAATTAATCATAGAATTACGATAGCAGGAAAGTTCTAGAGTTCTATCTTGATACAAATGTATTATTAATTTATATTGTTTTCGGTTTAATAAATAAATTTGTATATTCGAAATTTGGTTTTTTACCAAAATTTTTGTAACAATTACGATTGCTACGGTTTTCAACAAGGGAATTAGATTCAGTTATATCAAATAGAAACAGATATTTATTGGAAATTTTTTCACTTTCAAATTTATGGAATTTTTACCGAATTTTTATATTTTTATTACCAAGAGAAATGAGTCAAAACTATAAAGCAATCATGTTAGGTATCTCAAACGTAGGCAAGACATCAATCATCAACGCATTTCGGCCTTTAAATGATATTATTGAGCCCACAGTGCGATATGATCTTTATCAGTTCTCCTGCAGCATTGATGGAAATGAATTTACTATAGGTCTTTGGGATATACCAGGACAGACGCAATATCGCCCAATGACGCAAACATTCCTGAGAAATGTTGACGTTGCACTTATTGTTTATGATATAACATCAGAAGATTCATTTGATAACGTGAATGAAGATTATAAGCTTCTTATACAAGAAACACCAAATCCTCATGTTTTTATTATTGGAAATAAGGTAGATTTGGAATCTGAACGAAGAGTTTTTGCAACTGTGGGAGAAAACTATGCGAATCAAATTGGTGCTAAGTTTTTTGAAGTTAGTGCCTTGCATAATACGAATATTGTTGAATTATTTGATGCCTTGAAATTGGCTGCTTCTGGAATTGATAAGCCAATCACGGAGAGTATTAATCTTTCTAATACAAAAGAGAAAAAGAAAGGTTGCTGTTAATAATTCCTTATTATTAATCTTATTTCGAAATTAAATTCTTTTTTTTCGGATTGTGTTTTTAAAATCATCATAATTTCATCAAACAACATTTTTAAACCTTATTTATAATAGAAATCAACACAATTTAGTGAATGAGGGAAAACAGATATGAGTGAGTGAAATGTAGTATTGATTCGTTGAAAAAAATATTAATGTAACAAGGATTTTGTTAAACACTAAAGAAATAAAAATTTATATCATGATATTAAAAAATAAAATAAATAACTTTGATTGATTTATAATGAAACCAATCTTGTTTGCTGTAACATGTCAATTGTTAAAGGATAATTTGGTATTCAGCGATATGAATTTTAAAATTTGTTGGGAAAAGCATAAAAGCTTTGGGATGAAGATTATGAAGTACTTTTGTGGATGTTGATAATGGATTTGAATAGATAGTGAAAAGTAAGCAAATTTTGCTGGAAAACTCAAAGAAATTAGAAAAGAATTAAACTTTCATAATGTCTGAGAGCTCTCTTGTAAGTTTAAGCTTTTCTTCGGATTCTTCTGGAGTTAATTTTCCCTTCATTTGCATTGATCTGAGTTCAAACTCAATTTCTGATTTTCTCCTAAGGAGAATGCCAGATCCTGAGTTTGATGAAGGTAAAACTGTTGTATTGTGGCGTTTCTCGACTTGAACGCCCGGATCGATGAATCCAAAGCTCAAAGAACGTGGATTTGGATTAGCTCGTCTTGACATATGTTGCATGATGTGTACTTTTAGTTTACCTTCAGTCATTGGTCGAACTCCTAATTCAGGAAGACGAAGTTCTTGCAGGAATGAAGACATGTAGTTTTCTTGTTCTCTTGTCGATTCTAAGTCCAGTGCATTATGAACTTCGAAAAGTTTCTGAAGTAATGAAAATTTGATGCAATCTGGAAGACTTGGATCTTCCCTAATGAGTTTCATCTCTCTCCAAACTTCATGGATTTCGTTCTCCATCTGCAAGTGGTTGAAAAACAAAGTGGCATAATCCATATCTTGAGAGGTACTCATCCCAAAAGTGACAAATATTGGGGATCACGAATTTTACTACGATCAAAATACGACATTTTGTTATCGATTGCGACAGTAACATTTAACTCAAGATCCTCTAACCAGACAGTTTTTAAGGATTAATCTGCTAAGTTGAACTTTAAAGTCAAAACCAAAATATATTCACAATTCATATAAATGAATAGTGAAGCACTATTGGCGACAAATGTCAAGAGCGTTTTCTATAATGCAATTACAGAACTCGTTTCTATTTGACCTAAATTGAGCAATCCTTTAATAAGATCGCAAGTATTCAATAAAGCCGGCCACTGCTGTTTTAACTATTGTTCATACCGGAGAATTTTATTTGAATTGTACCTAAATTTGATTTCTTTGCTTGCAACGCTATCATTATTTCCAAAATGCAATTTCCATTTGTATGATTGGTAGTGTTACAAGAAATATTGTCAATTACTCCTTAAAAATATGGTATCTGGCTACTGTTTTTTGAATTACTATATGTCATTTTTTTCTACTTATTGGTCTCTGACTTAATCGGCTTCTGTATTCCGTAGTAACATGAAGCATTGATAATGCTTCATATAGTAATAAAGGCCAATTATTCAGTAATTTTTTAACTTGTATTTGGTCTATGTTTTTCTCGACAAATTATAAAGAAATGTATTGTTGAGTCTTTGAAACGAGAAAATATCGATATTTAGAAAAGCTATTTTTTCCAAAAAAAATTCAGAATTCTAAAAATTATTCAAAAAATTGTTAGAATTTGCAATATTTTGGAAAAAACAAAATATTTTTGGAATTTTAATGCATTTGAACAAAAATAACATTTTATCAGTTGTTATCAAATTTTATTCTTTTATTCGATTTTGATATTCATGAAGGAGATGATAACTTGAATCTGATTTGTTCATAAAAGTTTATTTATCAAATTAAGACGATTTCTGATTTCAGAAAAAGTTGGAATTATTGAATAATTATTTTTACTCGAAGTCTGACAAATTATCAGAATTATGTTTAAGCATGCAGATTTATTGATTTTGGTGTTTTTTTTTCAAATAATATTCAATTAACATGACATTTTTTTTTCTCAAATAAGCTCACTCTAATCTAAGTTCTAATATAAATAGCAGTTTTTCTATATAAACGTTGCATCAACTATTCATCTCAAATTTTATTTTCAAATTCAATTGTATCGAAAATCAAAACTTACTCTCTGATAAAACAATTCATTAAATTTTACTGTTCTTTATCAACAATCAAAATCAATTGAATTCAAAAGTTAATTCAAATTAATTTATCGAATGGAACATACGAATCAAGCAGTAGCTAGCGTTTCTGCTTCTGCTCAATCAGAGTCACTTGCAGAAATATGGAATATGCAGAAAAATGCAAACTATATTGATAAAAACTTTCCGTTATTCTTATCAGTATTTGAAACTGCAAAGATTCCAATTCTTTTTGTTTATCCATTCTTATCATTCTTCTTCATCCAGTTTATTATCGTTTCAATATGGCCATGGAATCAGTACTGGGAATCTCAACCAGATCAACATATCATGAAATGGCTAAGAACAGTATTGTATTTCGTTCCCCAACCTGCAGAACCGACTTATTACTTAATAGTTTCAATAGTTATCTTTATCATTAATATGTCAATCCTTATCATAATTGAATGTCAGCTGTTTTACTACAAACTCCAAAGAAAATTCATTATTGCCCTTAACTATCCAGTAAGATTATACTTTGATGCCGTATTGGTAGCAACTATTACCCCTGCGATTATCGGCACCGGTGAAACGTTTGTTCTTTTATGTCACGGAAACACAAACTATATGATCATTATTTCATTTATATTGTATGCTCTTAGTGTGGCGTACGAATCATATTCATTTTTCATTGTTCAGAACTTTGCTTCAAAGTCAATTTGCGTTAATGTTTCTCCATTATTGAATTTTGATCCAACTTTGATGATTATGACCTTACTGACGATGCTTATATGCATTCTTCCATATTTCTTACTCACAATTTTTGAATATTGGGTTCAATTAATCTCAATTGGTCTTCATATCATATTAAATTTGTATTTGTTTTACTATACATGCGCCAATTTACCATATGTTGATATCTTGACAATGGCTCTCGGCGTAGGCTGGTATAGTGGTTGCATCTTTGGTGACGTTACTCTTGTAGCAGGTACTTTTGTCAATTCTATGTCTTACAAGATTCCATTATATGGGTCAATTGCAGTTTTTGTTGGTTTAACGGGACCTGCATTATTATTTTTTATTATTAGAATTAAAGCAGTCAAAAAACAATTAGACGTCGATTACATAAAGCAAGATGAAGCAAATAACTACTATACTGAACTTGGATTAGATAAGAATCAAAACAAAGCCCTTTGTTATCTGAAAATTGCATTTCAAAACTATTGTCCGTCATTTTACAACTGGACACTCATAATATTTTTAATGGAGCATTACGAAACAGAAACAGTAATCTCTCTCTGTCTCCAATTATTAACATTCTTCCCAAAGGAAACTAGATTACAGAACAGATTGGAAAGGATGCTTTCAAAGAGAAGAACATTAACATTCCAGACCAGATATCTAATCTTCCAGATTCAAACGTTGAAATCTTTGAGACAATTTGATGCAAGACTCAAATCAAACTCAAACTCATAGAGCTTAAAAATATGTCTCGTAATCTTGAGAACATGACCAAAGCAGCAGTTGATGCTCCAAATTTAGAAATAAGTTATTTCGAAGAACACGCCGTTAAATCACAGTCAAACAGAGCAATTTGGAAAGAATCACTCCTTGCTGCCCCAAATAATCCAAAGTTCTGCGAAGAATATGCAAGATATCTTATTGAAGCGGAATGCGACTTTCCAGAAGGATTGAAGATCAAAAATAGACAGCAGTCAATTGAAATGGGAAAGATATACTCCGTTGACTTCTCTTTCCGTTCAATGGTAGAAGCATTTCCCAAATATCTAACAGAAAAGATCCTAGATTTGAATGGAGGTGTTAGAAAGAAAGAGACATCCTCAAATGGAGCACCAACAAGCGGACGATCAACTACCGGATCTCAAGGTTCAAATCAAAGTACAGGTACCGATGAAACAACAGAGTTAGAGGCTGAAGTTGAAGAATTCATCGGAAAACGCACAATAAAACAGGCCAGAGAAAGGCTTGCTCTTCATAGAATGATGGAGAATAAATTATCTTCTCCGATCAAAACAATTACACCCATTTCCATCTTCATTATCCTTTTCATTGTTATTATATTCTGCATTGGCGTCACAACTGCTACAATACAGTTGCAAACTTATGTCAATGATATGAAATTACTGAGTTCAATAGCAGATACAAGGTTCTTTGTTTCTTTATCGAATTCTGGAATGATTGCAGAATTCTTCCGTGAAGCTCAGCAATTGCAGAAATATACAACTCCAATGAAACAGTATTTAAGGGATTCTGATAAGCCTTACCTTGATCTGTACAACTTTATGCTTCCTAGTTTAATCAATTTCACAACTATAGCTTCTCAAGCATATGAAACATTTAATAATCTTGCAACTGAACAAGCCTTGTCAGGTTTCAATGTATCACTAACAACAGAAGGGTTATTAACATATGACACCATCTTTACAACTTGTCCATTGGGTGTTGAAACTCCAACAAGTTTATCAAATCTTGTTGGTGTTTACTTAGTTGACCAAAGAATAATCAGTGGTAAGCCCCATGTATTAGATATCCTAACAAATATGGATTCCTATGAGATTTCCTTGAACTTTGTCAACTTTTTCAGCCATATGGATACTGCATTTGCAGATATCACAAATGAACAATATGATCTTGGAAAGACTGCTAACAAATACTTCAGAAATTTGTCCATTATCATTCCTGTCATCACATTTGTTGGCGTTTTCATTCCATTTTTCATCAATCATTACAGAGTTCAGAGATCTCTCAAAGAATTGATAGAAATCATACATTCTTTGGACTCTAAATCCAAACAAGAGGCAAAGGAACTAATTATGGTCGGCCAAAATGAAGATGAGATGAAAGTCACAGAAATGCGTTCAAAAACTTATTATTCAACATCCGTTCTTATCTTTATATGCATAATTTCCATTATATTCCTTGGCTTGACATTCGCAGGTTCAAGATTAGTTTTAATGCATTCTACTCAATTAATGAACTTGAATTCATGTAACAAATATGCCTCTCAAAGATTATGTTTATCAGCTGAAGCATTTAGTCTGCTCTTTACTTTAACTGTTGTCCATACATTTCCAAATGTAAATCAGTATAGAAATGTTTCGGTTTTATCAGGAATCACAATGGTGATGGCAAAAATGATTGTAGATGCAGATAACAATCTTCTTAACGGAGATAGCAAAACTCCACCTTGCCAAGGATTTAACGAAGAATTAGATCAACTTAATTTCATTGATGGAGCATTACAAAACAATGTAAATGATCCGAGTGAATATTATGCAAATGCTTCAATTCATACTCAAGTTGAAACATTCTATGCTTACTTGAGTGAAATAACAAAATAAGCTTTGGTTCCAGGTGGATCACTAAACGTATTAGATGTTGCGAACACATTATATCTTGCTGACTACAGAATGTTCTACAAATGCTATAGAGTTTGCAGCTTGATCATTGAGTTAGGTGAAAAATCATATAGTCAAATGAAATCTCGAATTATCATCTTGTCATGCATGGCTGGTGTTGATTTAGTTTTCTTTGTTATGGTGATTTCAATTTATATTATAAATAGAAAGCTTACATACAGAGCAGGAATCACAATCTTAAAGAGATTTTCTCCATATGCTTTGATGAACAATAAAATTTTCAGCAAAGTATTCCTCAAAGGAAAATTGCATGATAAGAATGAAAAATTGTCAATTGAAGGCTTAATCTTTAAGAACGCAAGTGACACAATTTTATGCTCAAACATCAATGGAACTGTCGAAGTCCACAATAATTCTTCAAGCCAACTCTTCGGATACACTCCTGCTCAAATTTTGGGACAGCAAATTACACTGTTTTTCTCTCAGAAGTCCCAAGAAATAATTCTCAATAAAATGGAGATGATGAAGAGTGGACAAGCTTCATCATTTGTAGAGGAAGATTTATATGCTTTGACAGACTCGAATTCGGAAATTCCAGTTCATGTAACAATCATTGGAATGAAGAAAGAAGAAAATGATAGCAACATCAACTCATTTGTATTCGTTTTCAGAGATCAATCAAATTTGGTGAAGCAAAAGCAGCAAGCTGAAGAAGCTAAAGCCAAATCAGAGAAGCTCTTATATCAGATATTACCACGCGATATCGTTTTACAGCTCAACAGAGGCGAAAAAGATATTTCGTTCGTCGTTCCTTCAGGAACAATCATTTTCATCGATATCAATAAATTCTCTGAATATGCTGCAAACTTGTCACCTCAAGATATCATGGCAAATTTGTCAACATACTTTGCATTAATTGATAAAACAGCAGCCAAATACAACATGGTGCAAAAGATCAAATTAATTGGTGATATTTATATGGCAGCAACTGGCTTGTTCAATCCAGAATCTTCTCCTGAATCACATGCCGATCAAACAGTTCAATTTGCTCATGACTGTTTGGGAGCTTTAGACGAAGTTAACATCAAATTGACATCAAATCTTCAGATTCGTATTGGTGTCAACACTGGAGGTTCAATTATTGCTGGCGTTCTCGGAACTGATAAACCAGTTTTCGATATAATTGGAGATCCAATTAATGTAGCAGCAAGGTTACAATCAACAGCCGAAGTTAACAGAGTTCACATTTCACAAGCAACATACGACCTATTGAAAGGATTCTCCTATCAGTTCATCCAAAGAGGAGAAACATTCTTGAAAGGAAAAGGAAAACAAATGACTTATTATGTCAGTTTGGGTTCAACATGGTTCGGAAGAAATAACTCTGCACATTTATTCAAAGTGGCATCTGCTATTGAGAATTAATTTCATTATCAAAACGTGATTTTATATGTTATTATTATAATCGTTTTATATTTTAAAAATTATCATTTTAGTTTGTAAAAATGTTATTTTTTTTGTAAATAAAAATTTCCCCATTGAGTTGTTATGCGGCTTAACCTTACTTAGAAAACATTTTCACTAGGGAAAGATTTTAAAAGAAAAATACTATTTAATATAATGAATCAATAAACAATATATTTATAATATTACAAACTATCAGCAATATTAACACTGTCATCTTCATCAGCAGCGTCATCTTCAGTGATAACATCATTTTGGCCATCAGGTTCTTTCATGAATCTGTAAAATGATGGAGAAGCAGTTGCCAAACAAACAGAAGCAGCAACAACATCATTAACTATATAAGCATATAAAAGTGTTTTCGGAGAGTTTGGCTCAGCGCAGAAATGGAAAATACTTCCAAAAACTGGTAAGCCTAACAACTCTGTAACAACACTTAATATCATTGCTTTAGTGACTTGTTGTGTTGCTTACAAGAAAGAAATCATAATGAATTTGACACAAGCGAAAGAATAAGTATAAAAACAAATTGGAATCATTCTTAACGACCATTTCTTGAAACTTGGATCTTTGCTAAAAATAGAACTGATTGGCCCAGGAATAACAGATGTCAAGAAGGTAATTAAGAATCCCCAAACAATGGAAATCCAAATAACATGCCATGTCAAATGAAGAATTCTTTTCTTCATCTTTGCGCCATAAGCATAAGAAGCTGCAGGTAAATAAGCAGCATTCATGGCTAAAGGAACGAAAAACGCTAAACCATAGATTCTAAAGATAGCGTTATAAACAGCAATGACCATTTCAAACTCTCCAGTCTTGTTTGCACGTATAACCAGGTACTTTTGCATAACAAAAGTTGGAACAACAAATGAGATATTCATGATGAGGGCAGAAAGACCTGTTTTCAAGGCCATCCATGTTTCTGGGGCAAATTTGTTGATAAAAAGATGGAATTTTGGCTTTGCTGCGAATTTTCCGCAAAACATTAAAGTAATTAAGACAGTACCAGGGATAATCATGGCAATTTCTGTGGCCATTGAAGATCCAACAATGAGTTTTAATGACCACAATAACAATGGATCCCAACAAACCATATTCAAGAGCATTGATGAAATTTGAGAAATTGCGTAAGTCCAAGTTCGACCTTCTGCCTGTAATATACCGCACATAGTGTAATAACAGCATGCAAAGAAGTTCATTGCACAAAGTGGTATCACATACTGAAATGCAAGTTTCACAACTTCTGGAGGTGCTTCTAAGAATTTGAAAATAGGCTTTGCAATAGGTAAGAGAATGATAGGGATACAGCAACCGATAATTAAGCAAATCCTGAACAAATCAGCTGCAACTTGATTAATCTTGTCATATTCTTTCATTGACAACAAATATGCAATTTGGGTAGCTGCACTAACCGAAACAGCAATTGCAAATGAAATTGCTGAAGCATCAATTACGAAAGCAACTGAAAGAGCCGTCATTCCTATTTCTCCAATGAATCTTGATACCCACATTGAGTCAACAACACCATACAATGTACTAACAATTTGAGAAACGAGTGGTCCGGGACATAATCTAATGATTGTTTCGAGTGGGCGATATCCAGCTAATCGTTTGTGCTCCTCACCTTGATTAACTTCTTTTTTATCTTCGTCCGAAATCTTCTCGACATCCTGTGATGGATTATCCTTCATTCGAAAATGGCTCAGAAATATAAACGTGACAGGACAAATTGATAACTATATCAAACCTATTCAGAGGATATCAACTATCATAAAATCGATATTAAATTTGGCATATATTCAAATGGTAGAGTCTTTTTGTAATTTAAATAAAATAAATTTTGAAAGCCATCAGAAATCAGCCTCATTTACTTGATAAAATAATTTGTCTTTTGGTTAGAAATATATCATGAATATTTCAGTTACTTTGAATTTTTTGAATTTATTTCCAATTTGAATACCGCTTGCTTTTGTAATCTGATCAAAAATTGTTTTTCAAATAAACTGACCAAAGTTAAGTCCTCCTTGAATTATTACGCTGATCATATAGTTCTCATCTTGTTCCCAAATAAAATATATATATCATAGTAATTGATTTATTATCCATGTTTTTTCAAAAACGAATTTCGAAAACCCGAAAACTATAAAATGCAAATAGAATACTCAGTAAAGGGGGTCTATGAAAATACGAAATTAATTATAATTAGATGTATTTCTGTTAATTATTTCTAATATATAATGAAATTTATGAAATTAAGTTGACAAGTCAAATCAGATTCGTACACAGTATACAAAAACAAAATAATTTCAATTTGGATAAAAAAAAATCAAAAAATTGAAATTACAAGAACCGAACTTATTTAGATATAATTTAATAGAAAAACAATAAAATAATTAGAAGTAAGTTTTTTTTGTTATATAGTTAAATTTTACGCATTCAGAATTTATTTCTTGAGCTTAGCAATTTCAGCTTCTAACTCGGCAACGCGAGCCTTAAGCTTTGTGTTCTCCGCCTTAAGGGATTCGAATGTCTCTTCTGGAGCAGCTGTGACAGAGAAAGCTGGGCCATCAGCTGGTGTGTAGCCGTTCTCGAGGGAGAACTTCTGGAATGTTGGTTCCTTGCCACCCTTCCAGTCATCGAACTCGACGCCTGGGACTGGCTTCATTGTCTCTGGGTAGATATCGTCCTGGAAGATCTCAGCGTTCTTACGTGGGATGATAACCTGTGTTGTCTGGAGCTGCTTAGCCTGGTTGATGACGTAGAATCTGTCGATTTCGCAAACGTTTGTGTCGACGCAGTACTTTGGAGCACGAGCGAAGGCACGGACGGCCTCCTTGTTCTGGAAGGAGTTGCACTGGACGAGTGGGTTCTCAGCGGACTGGAGATCGTAGAAGCGGATGAGAGCATCACCACGAGAGAAGAGGATAAGGACACCAAGATCCTCATCAACGAATGGAGCGAGGATACCGTTGTTGGAGTCGATATCAAGCTGGGCGAGTGGCTTTTCTGGGTTACGGATATCGCGGACAGCGACTTGGCGGCCAGATGAGGCTGAGAAGCCTGTTGTGGCAACCATGTTAAGCTTGTCGTAGAAGACAGCACGGCCACCACGGAGACCTGGGTGGGATGGAACGGCGAATGTTTCGGTGTTGGCACGGATATCGAGAACGTGGAGCTTCTTGTCCTTCATTGGGTAGCAAAGGAGGTTACCGTTCTGGTTCCAGTTGATGTCGAGGAGGGAATCCTTGCCTGGCTTGAATGTACAAGCGCATTGGGCCTTGGCAACATCCCAAACCTTGACGGAGTTCTCGGCACCAAATGTGGCGATGGCACCGTTGACGGCTGGGTTCCATGTAAGGCGCTGGACACGACGGGAGTGGCCCTTCATGACAGCGAGGGATTCGTTCTGCTTTTCAACGTCTGTGCCGTTGAACTTGATCTGCCAAACGCGGAGTGTAGCATCTTCAGCAGCAGAGGCGATGATGTTGTCGTTGAATGGGTTGAAATCAACATCAAGAACGCCACCTGTATGGCCACGGAAGACAGAGTTTGTTGTGCCGACCTTGCCATAGCCGTTAGCTGGGAGAACTGCGAAGAGACCGCCACCAGATGTTTCGACTGGGTAAGCAACATAGCGGTAGTTGGCAGCAAGAAGATTTGTGTCAACGGATGTTGTGGAGATGTTGACCTCCTGGTAAGACTTGTCTACCTTAGCAACTTCAGCGTATACGTGACGATATGGAGAAGCAGTCATTTGGCAAAAAAATATGTGATGTAAAAAAAATTCCAATGGCCTTCAATTTTCAGGGAATATGAAAAAAAGTGACGGGACATTCGTTGCTGGTTAATCAATCCCATATAATAGTGCTAAACTACTGGCTGTCGTGGAAAAAATCAATGAGAAATAACACTTTTTGAAAAAGGTTGGGAGTTGGGGATGAAGAAGTAATTTAAAACGATTTTATTTATGATCAAATTATTTTTTTATCCCAATATAAATTATCTGCCGATATTATGATTATTTTTGTCCAGGATCTGAAATCCTTCTTCGATAAAATTCATAGCGCAAGATTTTGTAATCATTTCGTTTTAAAAATGTTACAAATCTTTGCTGCATTTCAATAAGCGATTTTTTATTTCTCCTTGACAGCTAACATAGCCGTTTTTCCAAATTCAAAAGTAAGTTACCGTCCGATTATTGAATGGTTCTGAATTTGTTTACATATATAATCACATAATCTTCTTCAATTTAGACTGTTTTATACCGTAAATCAGCCCTAATATTCTATAAAATAGTTTACTCTAGGGAGAATAACAATCCTATTAACTCAGATCTGGGATTTACTTTCTATGCCAGCCTGTTATTGACTGATTTAGCTCAAAGGGTGAAGAAAATGAAAGTAATCTAACGTAATCATCTATTTTAGACAATGGTGAACCAAAAACTCCCAGTACCCGTCACTCATAATTCGTGTTTTTGGATTGTTCGATCAAATTATCTTTTCAAGGATCAATTACTGACTCTTCTACTTCCTGAAACTGATATATATAGAATATATATTTCAAATATGACATTTATTCTAATTTATCAGCTTCTTTTGTTCCAGAAATGAGCTATTGGTTTCTTTTAACTGAAACACCCCATTGTTTCATATGATTGTTTCCCTATATATAGTCTTTAGGTATTAATTATGTTATCAAACATTAGCTGAACAAATCTGAAAGGTTACATTATTTTTTTTGCGCCATTTTTATTGAGTATCAAGTTTTCATAATTAGAATTACAATATGTACAGAGTTTTGTTCATTTTACACTTATTTCTCCTTTGTTTCAGCCGAATTTTTTAATTGTTTTTATTCTGAGTAACAGATCTTAACAATTCGCTAAATGTAACCTGAAGTTGAGATGAAAACAAATTAAAATATACTACTATTTGTGCTTATCTCCAACGATTGAGGATGGCTGATTAAATTTAACGTCTGTTTATCTATCATTATACATTTCCTGATAGATGTATCCAGTATCCCGAGTTTTTGAATGATTAATATTCATTAATTTTTGAATTATATGAAATTTCTCCATATTTGATCAAACTCAAATTTTGTTTGTTTCAATTAATGATGAGATAATGAATATTTTCTCTACTTGACTTTTCTCTTATCCTGAATACATATGGAAAAATTTCTGATTTGCAAGGTCATATATATATGAAATATTCAATTTTGCCGATTTTAAAGCATAATATTATTAAAGTTTTATTGAAAAAAGAAACCTGAAAAAAATTATGAACAATATGATTAGATATCGAAATGCTATAGTAAATTAATTAATTTAAATCCCTATTGGTTTAAAATATTTCATATTTAACGATCCAGAAAAAGTTTTTTCCGTATGAAAAAAATAGAACATCGTTTTTTAAAAAAGCAAACCTTTCCATTTGCACGCACTACAACCATGTTAATAAATCACTTTATTCAATTGAGTATGAATAGCTAAATAAAAATGTCGATTATCAATCCTTCTCATAACTCAATGTTTCGGATTATAAATGAATTGCATGAAATAGCACGTCTTTTATTCTGTCCATGCAATAGAAAAAATTGTATTTTACAATCTTCATGTTAGGAAATCAATTTATTACATATATAGAGGTACAGGAACGGTATATATAGATGAATTCTACCAAAATCAGAAGAAATATTGCAGTTTTTACGCTGGGTTGATTAAATCTGAAAAATTTTGGAGAGAGGGTCAAAGTTGCTATTTGTCACTTTTCCACAAGAATATAATGGGGAAAAAGTTATCATATAGTTGATCTCATTCACTGAGGTGAGAGATGCATGTAGTGTAATTTGATATACAGTGGGATTGCTGCTCTAAGTCCTAGGTTCGAGACACATTTACTTGATTTTTCTCTTTTTTATTGACGTAAACTATTCAATTTTTGTGTTATCCATTCAAATTTCAGAATTTTTTTTGCAGATTTCACGCTACATTCGAAGTTATGTTATAGACCGAAAATAGATTTTTTCGGTTTTCTCTTCAAATAATTGAAAGAATGATACTATTATAGGTTTATTATATTATATAGCATATAATCATGCTATAGCCGAAAATTATAAGTTTTGAGAAGATTGAATATAACACAAATAAATTTGAATGTAAGTTAAATTGCTTGTTGTTTTTAATAGCTATTTAATGAGAAATCCAATATTGCAAAATTCAAATTGAATGATTGAAAGAACAGAAAAAGTCATTCTTTTCAATTTCGAATATGTTTCATTGTATTTATAATTATATGGCAAATAAGATATTTAAACTTGATTTTTGAAGGACAATTCACAAAATTGAATAAATTCAAATAATTTTTATTCAAAAATAAACTAGTTATTTGAGTTTAATACTAATTATCTATTCAAACTACAAAGTTTGTAATTTAAAATATTTTGTGAGATCAGATTGAATTAATTCAATGTTCTTTTCAATTAATATTAATGACCATATTACGCATTTTCGAACATTCTAAACCAAATATATAAAAATGGGAGACGAATGTTAAATTTGCTAGACATGGGGGAGTTGTCTGCAAAGTTTTATCTCTTATCTCTAACAAAAAATTAATTTTTAAAAAAATGACCGAATACGTTTCACAGCGAGAAAAAAATAAAAGGCAAGATAGAATTTTCTAGACAGAAAGAAGTTGTTTACCGAGTTTTAGCTCTTATCTCTAACAAAAAATTAATTTTTAAAAAAATGACCGAATACGTTTCACAGCGAGAAAAAAATAAAAGGCAAGATAGAATTTTCTAGACAGAAAGAAGTTGTTTACCGAGTTTTAGCTCTTATCTCTAACAAAAAATTAATTTTTAAAAAAATGACCGAATACGTTTCACAGCGAGAAAAAAATAAAACTGTACACTGATTTTCATTTTCATTTCCAGTCACTTTACTTATTATTTTTCTTTTTTTCATTTTAATTATAAATTATTTCATAATACGTTTATTTACGTTACCATTTTCTTTATTCTTTTGAATTCCATACTAGACACTTATAGAATATTTTGATTGTTAACGTACTTCATTAGAATGAATCCTTACAAAGGGTATGTCGATCGAATTTACCTAATTGGTATTTCCAATCAGATTGAAGAAGGTAAAATGACATGGGAAGAAGCTTGCACCCATGTTCCCATCGCCCAACCCTTCAATCAAATGATTTCAAATATTTAGATGTTTCAAAATCTTTTTTACAAAATCAATTTAGCTTACAGAATATCCCATTGCCTAAAGGCAAGAAAGGTCGTAGGGTCAATCCCTACGACCAAATCAAAGCTCTTGCTGTGATACATGACCACTGGGCCTTTCCCTGTGGTCAAACAAAACAATGGAAACGTTTGAAATTACAACAAATTGATGTATCTTATAGAGAAGTACGCAGATACTTCAAAGAAAATCATTTCACCAAGACGCGATTAGAGCATGCCGGGCCAGAAACAGCAGTAAGATATTGGGCGCTTTCACCCAATCTTATCTGGCACGCAGATGTTCATTATTTTAGGGGTGTTCGTGGCCAGTATATTTATGGCATAATCGACGATTTTAGCCGCAAAGTCCTAGCGTGTATACAAATACCAGATATGCTGGCAGCGACGACAGCGAACGTTGCGGCTTCCGCCTTCATTGAATTTGGCGCCCCTTATTGTTTCTGGACCGACAACGGTTCAGAAAATAGGGACGCCTTTCAAGATCTACTTGATCTTTGGGGCGTCCAATGGCGGCATACAGACTCTCATTCTCCCTACCAAAATGGGAAGATTGAGAGATTCTGGCCGACATTGGAGCGCTGCCAAAGCATTTAGGCTATTCCTGCCTTTATTTGGGAGTACAATAATAACACACCGCATGAAGATCTCCCAATTAATCCATTAACTGGAACAAATTACACGCCAAATCAAATGTATCAGCTGAAACCGAAATACACAAATGCAGATACAGAAAGGTTGTGGCAAATATGGGATACAGATACAGGCATGACCGCTGTTGACACATTCACAGCGTAATAATAAACATAATTTTTTAATTTCATTTTTAACAAGTTTTTTTAAATGTATGTAATGAATAATTCATTAGAATATGATAATGCACATTGTAACAGAATAGAACAATCACCAAATTTTTTTTTTGAAATTAAAAAATAAAAGTAAAAAGTATAAAGTAATCTAACCAAAAAAGATATTTAAAAGAATTTTGGAAAAAACAGAATAAGGATAATGATATTATTTTAGATACACAATCGATGTACTGAAGAATAATCCGGTAAAATGATGGTATAAAATTAGAGTATTTTACAAGTAGCTAAAAGAATAAAACTATAATATAAAATAAATGAAGATTAATGAAACAATAAAGGTTAAATAAATAATAAAGATTTTTATTTTATATCAGTATTGAGAAGAAGTAACAGCTGACACTTGGTAGACAACTTCTTTATGTCTAGAAAATTCTATCTTGCCTTTTATTTTTTTCTCGCTGTGAAACGTATTCGGTCATTTTTTTAAAAATTAATTTTTTGTTAGAGATAAGAGCTAAAACTCGGTAAACAACTTCTTTCTGTCTAGAAAATTCTATCTTGCCTTTTATTTTTTTCTCGCTGTGAAACGTATTCGGTCATTTTTTTAAAAATTAATTTTTTGTTAGAGATAAGAGCTAAAACTCGGTAAACAACTTCTTTCTGTCTAGAAAATTCTATCTTGCCTTTTATTTTTTTCTCGCTGTGAAACGTATTCGGTCATTTTTTTAAAAATTAATTTTTTGTTAGAGATAAGAGATAAAACTTTGCAGACAACTCCCCCATGTCTAGCAAATTTAACATTCGTCTCCCATTTTTATATATTTGGTTTAGAATGTTCGAAAATGCGTAATATGGTCATTAATATTAATTGAAAAGAACATTGAATTAATTCAATCTGATCTCACAAAATATTTTAAATTACAAACTTTGTAGTTTGAATAGATAATTAGTATTAAACTCAAATAACTAGTTTATTTTTGAATAAAAATTATTTGAATTTATTCAATTTTGTGAATTGTCCTTCAAAAATCAAGTTTAAATATCTTATTTGCCATATAATTATAAATACAATGAAACATATTCGAAATTGAAAAGAATGACTTTTTCTGTTCTTTCAATCATTCAATTTGAATTTTGCAATATTGGATTTCTCATTAAATAGCTATTAAAAACAACAAGCAATTTAACTTACATTCAAATTTATTTGTGTTATATTCAATCTTCTCAAAACTTATAATTTTCGGCTATAGCATGATTATATGCTATATAATATAATAAACCTATAATAGTATCATTCTTTCAATTATTTGAAGAGAAAACCGAAAAAATCTATTTTCGGTCTATAACACTACATTCGAAGTTACCTTTTGTAACAACCACCACCGCCTACGAAAGACGAAAGTGTGTCACGATTTCACCCGGAAATCCGACGGTTGTTTAAGAGTAAGCACTTTTGGCACCTACTCAAAAATTTTGATTGAAAAAATTGGTAAGTTCTGACTATTGATTTTTCAAATTGTCTACTTCCTAAAATTGTTTTAAAATATTAGAGGAATTCTATACGCCTCGATTTCTAGTAATTGGAACAATGTCCAATTTAAAAATTCAAAAATGTGGATATTAAAAATTTGCATAAAATTCATAATTATACAATATTACAATAATTTTGTTTTTAAGGTAAGTTGGTTCACAATTTATTAAATTACGTTTGGATACCAAATATGATACAGAATAATATTTTCATGTTCAAATAATTTGTATGAGATCTGGTCGATAAAATTTTAATCACCAAAATATTAAAAACATTTCTATTTCCTAATATCATTAAAATTATTAAAATTTTAATTATCCGTTTTTTTCTCGCAATTCAAATCCTTATTTCAATTAACTGTAATTTTCGTCAATATGATACACTGCTATTTTCATAATAGATCAAAAATTTGTATTAATAAAAAATAAAGGTTCAAGCACTTTTGATCAATTTTATAAAAATTTTTTCGGGAATATAAGAATTAAAATTAAATATTATTAATATATCCACTCTTATTTTCGCCATATATTCAAAAATTGAGACTATTTGAAACTATTGATCGCACAATCTGCAATTCAATTTCATTATCTCTCAATTGCCCATCACTTTATCTTGGATCACGACATTAAATACTGCAGAAAATCTTTTTAATTTTCTGCAAAATCATTACTCTCAAAATTTTCAAACAACCATCAAAAGTGTCAAATGAGTAATGAAATTCTTCGTTCGGGTTTGATGAAAAAGGAGGGTCATTTTATCCACAACATCAACCAGCGTTATTTCGAACTGACTTTCGATGATCTTACATACTATACTTCCAAAGGAGGAGAGCAAAAAGGAAAAATTTCTATCGACTCCTTAATTTCAATATCGAGTGACCCAACGTACAAAATTCAACCATGTATGGTTATAAAACAGAACAAAGGAAAGGAATTTAAGCTTATTCCACCTTCTGTTGAAGAATTTAATCTTTGGGAGATTTATCTCTACAGTATCATGATCCTACGTCGTGGAACTAAAAATCAATGGTACAAGGACAATTTCAAGAAAATCTTCAACGATTACATATGTATAACTGAATTAATATGGAGCCATAATTCAGCGAATATACAGCAAATTGTCGGCAGATTACATGGATTGATCCAGCAAGGACTTTACACACGAAATGAAATCCTTGAAATCATCACTTATGCCGCAGAAAAAAGGCCAAGAGAAGTTAAATTCTTTGGAGACTTAACAGATACGTTCTTGCACTCAGAGGGTTATAAAATACCAATGGAGCACAAGATCAATAACTCAATATTAAGAAATGTACTGATAATGAAGAACCAAATTAAAAACAATCTTCCAGATGACTTCAAAGACTTGTCTGTAGAAGAAATCATGTGCGGATTCAAACAATCTGATTATCGTTACGCCATTTTCTACGATAAAGTCGATCTTTTCAAGCAAGCAATGAAAGAAGATAAATTTTCAGATCCAGAGAACTGCTACAAGCTTGCTTGCAAGTATTCCGCAGTCAAACATATTCAACTACTTACTAAAGAACACCAATTTCGATGAAAGTTACTCTCAATACGCACTTTTGTACGGATGCCCAGAAATTATTGACAAGTGCAGGAAATTATGCAAGAAGATGAACGTTCCTGACATTAATGAACTTATTGTCAACCACCAGACCCGTGCAATTTTCGAGTATTACACAATTACTGAAATTGTCAACATTTCATGGTCAATTCTCTTCAAATCCCACAACATTCTCTTCTTCTTCATGAAGTGCTTCTACAACGGCGACTTCTCATGCAACTCTTCATATGATAAACCTGCTTTGTACTCCGCCGCCAAATATTCCCCAATTTGCATCGTCCAATTGATCATTGACCACGGTGGAAAGCTCGAACTGGGTGGAGTACACAGCAAGACACCACTCATGGCCTCAATTAACAAGCACGGGTTCTCAATTTCAGAACATTTAATGAAATTGAACGCAAACATCGACGCGAAGACAGATGAAGGCACGACAGCACTCATGCTTGCATGCGCACGTAATGATACTGTTGCTGCGAAGTTTTGTTTCGATCATAAATCTTTTATTGAGTCATCTGACTTCTGTGAGACCACAGCAATCATGCACGCGACACGCCACAACTCGTTTGATTGCGTAAAGCTGCTGATCCAGATAAAAATGATATCTCTGGAATGACTCCTCTGATCACTTGCATCAAGTCCAAGTACTACGACCTCGCTAAACTTCTTGTTAAGAGATCAGCAAACGTCAATCTAAGAGACTACACTGGTTCTTCTCCTCTCAAGATCGCTTCTGACTTAGAACTTAACGATTTTGTTACACTTCTCAAGGAGAATGGCGCAAAGATGTAATCTATACTTATTATATTGAATTTTTTTGTTTGTATTTTTATAAAGTTCGCGATTTTAATTTTTGATAAGTCTCATTGAATATTTTCTATACTTTAAAAAATCTTAGCTCAAAATCAACCAACTTTGAGTGAAAACATATATTATTAACATAATTATCTAAGAGTAAATGACAATTTAGATCATTAGATAATGTAACAATGAAACATATTTGCATATCTCGGTCATATGTTTGATAAAATCACATACTTTAGCTGAGCAATTGCGTTGCACAGCTCTGGAGATCAATAGCTGTATTTACAAATCAATTGGATAATTTGATGAAAAATACTGAAATCAAAATGAAAACAACAATTAGAAGACTATGGATCACTCATTGGAAATCAAATAAAAAAAGTTTGAATTTCAATTCCATCTCAAAAATTCAAACAAATGACGACAACAATGAGTTTTGAATCTCCTGGCGACAATTATCAAATGAATGACGATATGGACTCAAAACAAAAAAGAACAAGAATAATGGTTACTATTGCAACAATAGCTGTGATTGTTATTTGCATTGCTTTGATAATTTATTCAATTGTTTACAATGTTATAAATAATAAGTTCAAAAGGCCAATGTTGTTCATTAAAAATGGTGATGAGGCGGAAATAATGAAAGCTATCAATTCTGATTCAGTATTAAATAGTTCATATAAAACATTAGTCAAATCTACTGATAAGATACTCAATACATCAGTACTTACATATACACTAAAAGGAAAAAGATTACTAGAAATATCGAGAGAAGCTGTTCGAAGAATCTTTTTCTGTTCAACATTATTTAGATTAACAGATGACAAAAAATACTACGATAAAGCATTAGCAGAGATAAATGCTGTATGTGCATTCGAAGATTGGCATCCTTCTCACTTCCTAGACGTTGCAGAAATGACAACTGCAGTTTCTATTGGATATGATTGGCTTTATAATAATTTAACAAAGAAAGATAGAGAATCTATTCGTCAATGCATAATTAAAAATGGAATTAATCCATCTTTAAATAAATCATTGAATTATTTCTTAAGAACGACAAATAACTGGAACCAGGTGTGCAATTCCGGTATGACATTAGCTGCTATTGCATTACGCGATACAGATTTAAATCTTTCCGATTATATTATTAACAGATCTGTTAATAGTTTAAAGATTTCAATGGGTGAATACTCACCGGATGGAAACTATCCAGAAGGATATGGTTATTGGGGTTACGGTACAACTTATGCAGGAATTATGTTCGCAGCTTTAGATCGTTTCTTTGGCCACACGTATGAAATGGCTGAGTGGCCAGGGTTTGCAGAATCAGGCAAATATATTCAATATATGGTTGGAACAAGTGGTCTTAATTTTAATTATTACGATTCTGGAGAAAAAGGAGGAATTAATCCAATTTTGTTCTGGTTCGCATATTATTTTGATGATCCATCATATATATTCTATGATAATTACTTAATGGACGTCAAAAAGATGACATCTGGCAGTTATTACCTTCCATTAATTTTAATTTACGGATCAAAACTGAAAAGAGATAAAATCAAACCTCCTGAAAAGAAAATATTCTATGGAAAAGGCACAACACCAGTCATATTAGTCAGAACAAGCTGGGATGGAGCAAATGGAACTTCATTTGGAATAAAAGGTGGACGTGCAAAAGATTCTCATGCACACATGGATGCAGGATCATTTGTATTTGATGCTCTTGGTGTAAGATGGGCTTCTGATTTAGGTTCATCTGATTATACAACTTTAGAGGCAGAAGGAGTTGATTTATGGAACTTTAAACAGAATTCTACAAGATGGAGTATGCTTAGATTAGGAACAATTCCTCATAATACAATAACTATTGAAGGCGAAAGACATAACGTAGAAGCCAAATCAAATATCACTAAAGTCTATGATTCTGATGATAATAAGTTAGGTGGACAGATAGACATAACAGAAAACTTCTTTGGAAAACTTAAATCAGCTGTTAGAGATGCAATTTTAATTAATCAAAAATATTTAGAAATAACAGACAATATAATCGGTGGTAACTCGAAAGTAAACATTGTTTGGACAATGACAACTCGTGCAAATACAACATTGACTGATTCTAAAACAGTAACGTTAACAAATGGAAAGAAGACTTGCATATTAAATGTAAAGAGTCCTTCCGATTGTACAATTTCATTTGGAGACAATAAACCATCCAATGATTTTGAAGAATCTAATGAAGGCACAAAAAAAATTTTGATCAAAACTTCTGTCGCAGCCGGTGAATCAAAGCAAATCAAAGTTACACTCACACCTCAATAAAAATATTTGTTTCATATCATAAAGGTCTTTTTTTATCTTTTTATTAACTATTTTTTCAAGATAGTTCATCGATAAGACATTTCATACATGGACTATCCTCATTAAAGATGTTTTCCAGGAACTCTAGTTTGATATCCAAATAAAATGTTCTTTTTGTTTGTTGAAATTTTTGATCAAACATTTTGATCTCAAAAGTGACGATTTAGAAATGCTTTGTTTTTTATTGGGCCTTTCTCAGTCAGGAAAATATGAATCCCTAATTGCAAAAGCTAAACATGATGCATACGAGAAACCTAGACTGTTAAGAGCATCTGCAAAGCTTCAAGATCTACAACCAGGTACATATTCTTCCAATGGCTTTGAATATACAATTCGCTATCCAATTACAGGTGATTTATCATCAGATGTATTAGGGTTTGCTATGGAAGCATCAACAATGGCTGTAGTTAAAAAGTCTCCGAAAATTACAAAATTAAACACAGTTTTTTCAGATTCTGCACAACAACAAGTATACAGATTAAAAGGAGTACTCGAATCAGAGAACGAAGTTGATGTTTACGAGGTCGAAAACATTGAACCATTAGATGTAATTTCAAATATTAAATACAACGCATCTAAGGACTCATTTTTCAAGAGAGACTTCAACAGTTCACTCAAATGGAAGGAAACTCCAGATCCTTTCTTTGATGGTCGTCCAGAATATATAAATCCAGAAAATGATTACATGAAATTCGGTGCAGGAGCTTACATTAACACAGAAGTATCTCTTGATTTCGATCTATCATTGAAAAACATCTCAATGACCGCTCATATCCAAACAAAAGGCGTTTTTGGCGCATCAATTAATATTTCTCTTGCAAATGACGCATTTAAGATGCCAAACACATTCAGCAAGAATATTACAATACCAAATGGTCTTTCTTTCAGTATCCTTGGCGTCAATATCGCTCTTAAAACAGAATTTTTCTCAATTTTAAAGTTCGACACCAACTTCTACAATGTTCCAGAGAGTATTGATATCTACCGTGGTTACATTATCACAATGGACCGAACGATATCTATAATTAATGGAAAATTCATTTCCCAACCAACAAAATTTAATTTGGAACAAGTTGGTTCGAAATCTGATGTTGTTGAGCTTGCAAAATCATTTGATGGGTCACATCTTATCTTTTCTCCATCAGCATCCCTAGGAATTGACATTTCTTTGAATGCAGGATTGAAACAATACATAAGTACATCGATTACACTTGTTCCGAGGATATTTTTCGAAATGTCATTCAACAAGGAACAGTGTAGAGCACCTTATCTATACGGATACATTAATCCGAGAGTAGATTTGTTATATAATTTCTCAGGCTTCAAGCCGTTGGGCTTTAATGTGATGGAACCCATGGGTAAGATATGGAATCTATACGAATTTCATCACGACGATGTTTGTCTTTTCGGATCTCGTGATAATTCGGAAAATCTCAAATCGGAATTGTAAAAGATACTGTTTTTTATTTTATTTTTCTCTTCTTCTATAATAGTAAATAACAAAGATCAAATTACGAAACATATCTCCAACATTATTGATTTCATGTTTAATCATCTAGCGTAATAATGATAAAAAAAGAGTTAAAACGAAACAACATGATTTCTACACTAGTATTTTAATGGAGTTATTGCTTAACTTCAAATATTCGGTTTATTTTTAAAAATTTCCGAAAAAAGAAAGTGAAAATTAAGAAAAATAACGCAAACAAATATTTATTCAACACAAAAATTAATACACACTACTATTAGATACACGTTTCAGCCCTGATGGGGAAAATATAGATTGGCACGCTGACCGAATGAGCATTCTATGAGCATATTTAGCAGAGGAGTGGGAGGCGGACTTCTTTATCTGGGTTGGGAACTCTGCTTTTATCTGGGAAATTGTCATTCTTTCATTTGCCTTATATTTCAAGCACCCTTCGATTATATTGCCCAGATCATGCGGAATGTTCTTCAGAGGTATAATACCCGCTTGCATCTGGCAAATGATTGTTTCCATCGTCTTACCGCGAAATGGGTGGTGTTTACCGAATAAAGTATATAAAGTAACACCAAATGCCCATACATCGGCTTTAAATGGGTCGCACTTTCTGTATTTAAGGAGCTCAGGGGACATGTACGAGAATGATCCGCTGTAAGTAATTTTTGCATCTTGACCAGAACTTCCAACAAAATGAGTCAGGCCAAAGTCTGCAAGCTTAGCGCGACCAAATTGATCAATTAGGATGTTTGATGGCTTGATATCACAATGAGCAAAGCTTCTTTCGTGCATATAATTTATGGCCTCAATAATTTCATGGACGTATTTTATTTTTGTTTCCATATCATCTGTTGGCTTTGAGTGATCAATAAGATATTGGAGACTTCCACCGGAACAGTACTCCATAACTAAAAATAAATAATTTCCTTCTGTAAAAATATCATATACCCGGACAATATTAGGATGACTCAATTGTAAAAGTGCTTTGACTTCTCTTTCATATGAACAACTGAATGATTAATTGTATTCATTGTCAAATGAACATTTGCATACAAAATCAGTATTGTATTTGAGTGATTTCACCAAGTAACAGCATCCGAAGGCACCCTTATTAATAAATGACTTAAATTCATAGTTATGATTCTTTAAGATGACTTCAATTTCCGCTTGCATAATGTTAATTATATAATTGATAGGATTTGAAACAATAAAAATTTTTGAGGGGAAGGAAATTTGGGAAAATTAGTCCTATTATGGTTAGAGTGAAAATACTTAACGATTTAGAGTTTAATAGAACTAATCGTTAGTTTTCAATTTAAAATTTATTGAAAATTGAGAGAGATATTCAATATTTTCGAATAGATTGTATGCGATATTTCAATTTTATTGAAGGTGACGTAAAAAAGTTAAGGGTATAGTAAACTCAAAATTCTAGAGTTTTGAGAGTGCCAATAAACTCTATAGGCCTATATATATCTATATTTTAAAGGAGAGGTTACGCCATAATATTTGATATTATAAATTATTAATTCAAAATAAAAGTAGAAAATGAAACTAATTTTATTCTAACCTATATAAATATATCAATAATCTAAAATGATTATAGTCTGAACTATATTTTACCAGATTATCAAATATAAGAGAAATGAAATAGAGTGCGGGACAAATTTGCCAAGTGTCACTTTTTCAATAACCTTAAATTACGCTTTTCTATTTTTTTAAAAAAAATAACCTTAAATTATATTTGAAGAAATTATGTCTATGATATATGTTTTATGCTAGAATCTTGGAGTTTTCATGCACTACACAAGAGCTCCAAGGTTCCAAGAGTGAATGCTCAATAGCAATTATAGAGATGTACCTTTTCAAAATGACTTTTACTGATTAAATTTAATCAATAGAAGACATTTTGAAAAGGTACCTCTACAATTAGATATACAAGAGATTCAAAGCTTCATTTCAGATAGATTTGAAACTTTGAAACTCTTGGTAGATTTTGAGTGAATGCTGACAATCATCTTTGAGAAGGTTTTCTTTAAGAAAACCTTCTCAAAGAGGTTTCTCAGGAGCCCTGAGGCTCCCTTTCGTAATGATTGGGAGCCTTGGGGCTCCTGCAGCAGAGTATCGCTCCGCTCCATTAAATTTTTTTAAAAAAAGTGCCGTGTGGCAAATTTGTCCTGTTCCCAATGAAATAAGGCATAAAAATATCATAGCATAATTATTGGATAAATGCATTAATAAATTATTTATATCATAATGAGAAAAAATCAAAATAAGAAAATGAGCATAATAATAATTTAATTAAAAACAAAAACAATAAATAAAATGTAATTTTCGTTAATCAAAGTCATCAATGTCTTCGTCTTCTGATTCCCATTCGGACTTGAAAACTTTATAATCTCCTCCTGGTACACTCTGAATGGATTTTTTGTATTTGTTCTGTTTTTAGAACCTTTTGTAACAGTTTTTGTTTCAATATCATTTTGGAGTAACAATTCTCTTCAAATGATTTGACACAATCTTCTGGAAGTGGGGAAGATGTAATGCTTTTTGTATATCTCCGAGAAAATGCTCTGGATCATTCCATTCTAAGATTGCAACGTTAACTCTAATGTTAATGTTCTTCCAGGCTCTTGATTTTGTCCAAATAGCATGCAATTTTGGAGTTAAACGCTTCATTCATGCAGGTAGATCCAATGGAAGAAACTTTGGAAACTATGGGTGTCCATTTGTGAACCCAGTCATAGAGCATGAATTGAAGTTGGTCGAATTGACACCTTTTTGCCATTCAAAAGCATTTGTAATTGTGCGGTTCGCAAAAAGAATGATTGCCTACGTAATGGTAGACACAATTCTCCCACATTTTCGTACGTTTGTCAATATTTTCTTCGGCAAACATGACCAAAGCCACATACTTAGGCTTGCATTCAGACCCCAGAAAGGTCTCTCTATTTTTTCAATCTTCTGAGTCTTGTCGTTGAAAACTTCAACTGTCTTATGAGAAGCTGAGAACTTTGTAAAATCTTTTGAGATATTTTTTGATACATGACCTGGATCGAATCTTTCAAGATGAGAGACGCCAAATTCTTTAAAGACAGAGACACTTTTGTTATCTCGGTCTTTAATAATCTCTTTAACATCTTTCAAGATATTGTATTTCTTTAATTGCTTCAAGATGATTCGAGTTCCAGCACTTTCCATATTGTTGGAAGCTCCGGAATACTGAGCATGCTGTCTGTTTCCACCAATATGGTTGATGTTCACGCATGCAAGAACTCTTTTTGTGACAGCATCGAGCGCAGTTACTGTACAACTTGGCGAGTTTCGCCTGTGCGTCCATCTTGCATCAATGGATAAGTAACCACTGAAGGACTTTCTCGACAGCATTAGGGAAATACTTTTAAGTCTTCTAATCTTATCGTCACAAAATCTCTGTTGTCTCATGACACCACTCTTCACAGGGGGCTTAGTTCCACAAAGAGAAAGAAAGCGAGCACCTTTTGTATATGGCATTCCGGTCATTATGCAAGCACCAAGCATCTGTCGCGCTGAGAGTCGACGACGTTCGTGGAGTAAAATGTTATGCATTGCCTTTGTTTTCCGTTTTGGGTGAACAATATGGCCCATACAACAACAAAAAAATGAAATCCCGCCAAAAGTGAAAATTGAATAAAAAGTAATAATTAATAAATATATACTATATCATTAGATGAATATTTTGGAATAACATTTTAAAATCGAGGTTTTTCAATGGATAACGGTTCAATCAAAAATTTGACCCCATTTTAGAATCTACATTAAAAATGGAACATTTCTGTCGTTTCAAAATTCCAAAATAACGTTTCTATTCCTCTCAAAAGTAAAAATAAACTTTATTGGGGAAAAAATATTTTTATTTTCCAAAAAAAAATGAAAACCTTAAATGCAAATCTAATTTTGATGCTTTTGTTTGTGATTTTTTGGATTTCGAAAAAAATTTGAAAATTCAGACAAGTTACCATTAACACTAATACGTTTCAGCGAGTCGGTCCCATCAGAGAAATTTTCATAAATCGGCGATATAATTTATTATTTCAGCAAAATATTCTCAGATCCAACTAGAATAAGGTCAAATTATACAAATTTAGCAAAGGCTAGTTATCCTACCTATTCAATTAACTTTAATTTTAAATAATTCAAGACAATTCTCAAAATTACCTTAATAATCGCGTTCTCTTCGCAAAATGACGATTCATCATTCACTACCAGCATAACTGAGGGCTTGTGCTCACAGAATAATACAGATAATTTACTTATTAATGCAAAATTTAGTACCAAAAGGTAATCATAGAAGATACAAAAAAAGTTTCTTTATTTTGATTGCTGATTTTATTTCTTCTAAAATTTACCAAATCTAAAAAATCCAAAATTGAATGCTATTGAATTTCATGTTTATGTAACATATACTATTTATTATATAAGGAATAAAAATTTTATAGTTTTAATCAAAAATAAAGGTGTACTAAATGCATACAAAACAAGGTATTTTTTACTCATCCAAAATATGTTAACAGTGCTATTTATATAATCAATATCCGAATTTCGAAATCATTTTGATGAAATCTTTATTTTAAAATTGAGTTGACTGTTAAAATCACCCGAGAAGAGGGATTATCTCAATGAAAAGTACATAAAATAGCAAACGCACAAGATGGCACTATGCAGCTTTATATTGTTATACAGGATGAACATATAAAATGTTTGGAAAACACTTACTTCGTTCTACAAATGTGTATCTCTTTATATCAAAGATTCTTCTCAAATTATTGAGAGACTTCTCTCAAAAAAAGGAAAATTTGATAACTAAAAAAAATTATGGCATAACCTCTCGTTTTGCATAGATATATATTTACATGGTCACAGAGCTTATTTTCATTGTCAAAACTTAAAAATTTTTAGTGGACTATACCCTTAAACGTCGAGATATGAGTATAAATAAAAATATACTTATATCTTCAATTCAAAAAAGATTCTTTCAAATCAGATAAATTTGAAAAATTAAAAAATATATAAATTAGTTTTATACTCATGGATATTGCCCAATAATTCACCAATCTTATTTTTGAATTCAATTTTTATGTGTTTGAAATGTCAAAAGAGGATAATAAAAATTTATTAATAATAAATTATCTACGGACTCTCAGCATTCAAATCGATTGCAATTAAATACTCTCAAATCATTTGATATAAATTGAACAAGTATTTATCATTACATGATTGTAGATCAATGATTACAATTAATTATTTTTTTACAAATTTTCTTCTGTAAAAATTGTGAATTTCTCAAACAAGTGTCAAAAATACATTTTGACATAAGATCCAAAATTAATATCTCTCTTAAATTATTAAGTTTCCCACATCTGCTAAATTTTATTAAGTTTACAAAATTCTTTCAAATCATATCGTTATACTTCATTCAATTCCTTCTAAATCAAATTAGCTTATTCATGACCTATCTATATAAATATTCTAATTTCACATTTCAATTGTAAATGGTCTTCTCGTCATCAAAATTGTACATTTTTATAATGTTACCGAGCTTACATTTCTATATACTACGGCTTATGGTTGTTTAAAATCAAAAGACTCCTTAATTATTAACTGATTTTTTAATTTTTTTTTCAGATCAAAGTTAATCTTAATATTAAAAAGAGTATTTAATTACCATACAATAGATTTATAAACAAATATCAAATATTAACAAATATATACAAAACTATATTTCTATAATTAACACGGCTAATTCTGGAAACATCCAAGGGTTCCACTGAACACCGGGATATTCGGTTTGACATAGTAAGTTAGCTGCTTTCCTTTTCCTTTCAAGAAAGTTTCTCCGCATTGAGTTACTTCGCAGTTCATTCCTTTAACCAAATCAAGGGTGGCTTGTGATATGTGAACTTTGTTTACATCGCTGGTACTTTGTAATCTTGCTGCAACGTTAATAACATCTCCGATAATATCGAAGGCAGGTTTATCTGTTCCGAGAACACCAGCAATGATTGGCCCTCCTGAGTTCACACCAACTCTGATTTGTAGGTTAGCAGAAAGCCGTAAGTTAATTTCTTCAAGAATATTCACTATTTCTTGTCCAAATAATACGGCTTGCTCTGCATGCTGCTCTGGATTAACTTCTGGGTTGAAAAGACCAGCAGCAGCCATATAAATGTCTCCAATTAGCTTAATCTTCAAAATCATGTTGTATTTCGCCGAAATTTTATCAATACAAGCGAAATAATATGACAAATTGGACATAATATCTTGTGGTGATAAGTTCTTTGAGCACTCTGAGAACTTGTTGATGTCAATGAAAATAATTGTTGCTGAATTAACAGTAAACGTAATATCTTTCTCTCCTTTGTTGAGTTGGACAACAATATCACGTGGTAAGATCTGATATAACAACTTTTCTGACTTAGCTTTGGCTTCTTCAGCCTGCTTTTTCTGATTTACTAAAGAAGTTTGGTCTCTCAAGATGAAAACAAATGAGTTAACATCACTATTGGACTCCTTTTTGATCCCAATTATTGTAACATGAACAGGAACTTCTTTACCCGAATCTGCAATAATATTATAATCATCTTCGTAAAAAGCGGAGCTTTGACCGTTTCTGATCTGATCTATCTTCAAGCTAATCTTAGGATTATCATCATTTGCGAAGAACGATGCAATGTTTTGACCTAAAATTTGATCAGCGGTGTAACCAATCAAAGAACTGACAGAGTTATTAGCAATTTCGACAACACCATGGATATTTGTGCAGAATATGGACTCATTGGCGTTCTTTATGATAGATTCTTCAATTGATAACTTTTCTGCTTTACTTTGTTCTTTTCCTTTAAGGAACATCTTCTCAAAAGCTTTAGAATTGACTAAAGCATAAGGCGAGAACCTTTTCAGGATCATTAGAGCAGCTTTATACGTTCCTGCTCTATTTAAGTGATAAAAGAAACAAATTATTCCAAAAGCAGTAAGAAGAATGACTGTTATAACAATGAAAACTATCATAAGATTCTTTTCTTCGACGATTCTGTCTTCACTTAAGTCAATCAACAAAGAATTTATCTGTTTCATGCGCCAATACATTCTATAATTGGTTATATATAGTGTGTTAACAAGCTCTGAGTTGTATTGGCTGTTTTCTGTATGATTTAGTTTGATTGACTCAATAATATTTTTGGCGAACGAGACATAGATGCTTACTTGCTGATGAGCAGATGCATTAGCATAGTATTCTTGTGGAGTTGCTGTTTCATTCGATAATTCTGAATCCTTAATATTCAATTCATCCAATTTTTTGCTGTATCCTGTACAAGGAGGAGATGTGGTAGTTCCATCAACTAAGTTCTGATCAGCTTCAACGAATTTTTCTATAATGTATTCTGATTTTGTTATCAAATTCTCCAAAGTGTTGCTTGTAAACAGTTGCGGACTTCTGTCTGTCATTACTAACATAAGGAGAAGGTTAGATGACTCGGCGGCCAAAGAAAGTCTCAAAGAAGAATATTGGTTCCAATTTGAAAGATCTTTAATGTCACTGTTAGTTTTCATCGTTGAATCACACCCAATATAACATATAACGAGCAAAATAATAGTGGCTAAACAGATTGCCAAAATCAAGAAAATCGAACTTTTGCTTTCTCCGTGGAAATCAGCTGATCTGATATCTTCTGTTTCTTTGGCTTTGTATATCATTTCTTTTGCCTCATTTTTGGTCTTCAAATCGAAGGAATGAATAATATTTATCACATCCTTCAAATTTTTATCGATAAGTATATGAATGACTATGAAAGGAACAAAAGAAATAATAAACACAGCAACAGGAATCACGTATTTGACAATTTCTATCGTTTTTGTTGCTGATGAATACGCACCTTCAAAATATTCGTTCAGTTCAGAATACAAAGCAGCAGAACTGTTGTAGAATGCCATTAGATTTGATGCTATCTCACAAAAGTCCGGACTAAACAAAATTGAGGCAATATCTGTTATTGTTTTTGAAGAGAAATATCTTTGGTTAGAGATGAAATCGGATATGATCGATGCCAATGACATGCTCGCCTGAGGTGAATCTGTCAATACTTGGCCTGTTGGGTTGCACATTCTCATTGACGATTTATCTTCAATGAAATGGCTAGCGAATTTGCTAACATTGCCACCTACGAGACCAATGTTGGTCAAAGAGTTGATCATATCTTGGAATTCAGTAGCGGCTAAAGTTGTAAAATTCAATAAATCAGTTAAATTATTGGAATAGGGGTCAAAGAAAGGCCGATCATCATCCATAAGCATAGATTTCATCGTTGTTAGTAGTTGAATTGCTTTTGCGTCACCTTTGAACAAAAACATCATCAAATCAGCACTGGCAATGGAAGTATAGAAGCGTGTGAGTGCCAGAGCCTCAACATGACGCATTGAATCAACTCTAGAGTTAAGGATTGTCTTAATATAGAACCAGACCGCCAAAAAAAAGATCGGAATGAAAATAATTATGAAAATTGTGAGGAATTTGATGGATCTTATGGGAGGAGTCAATCTCTGGTCTAATGTTCTTTGAAGGGCCAACCTTGGCCTTGCATGGCTGATTGAAATTGATCCAATATGATCTTCTATTTCATTATCTAACTCTGATTCAAAAGATTCTTCAAAGGAGTGATTAGAAGTCTTTGTATTATTCAACGTTGCAGAGATGTTAGGGTTTGGAACTGGTTCATCTGAGGCTGGTTTATTTTTAATTACATTTCCTTGAAGATCCAAGATTTTCTCAGTCAAATACTTCGGGAACGCTCTGACCATTGATCTGAAAGGCAAATCTATGCAGAAATTCGCTCCAAGTTCTATAATTTCCTGACGATGCTTCATTTTTATACAGTTTACGAAGTCACATTCAGCTTCACAAAGATATCTTGCGTATTCATCGCAGAATCTGTTGTTATTTGGAGCATTCATGATTGCTTCTTTCCAAATAACTCTGGCCATTCTTGTTTTTTCGTAGAAATTCTCCAAATAACTAGGGGTAACACTCATAGAATCAATGGCTCCGCGACAAATCATCTCGCATTGGCGACTTACTGTTTTAATTTCAATTAATTTTAATTTTGATTGCGTCGAAATTGAAAAAGTACGTAATGTCTTGGAGTGTTCTATCTGGTATATTAAGAATCTTGTGGTCCAGTGAGGATCTCTCTTGGCAAGTAACATCATTTCGATTTTATTTTGTAATCTTGTCTCTTTCGGGAAGAAATTGACAAGTTGGAGACACATACATAGAACACGTTCGGAATTGAACCGTTCCAGGAGGTAGTTGACGTAACTCCAGTTATAAAAGCATACACAATAATATTGAAAACCGAGTTTGAGGTATCTGAGTGCTTTATCTTCATATTTGCATAGTCCAAGTTCATCATAATATGCATTATACTCATCCTGGTTTTGTTTTATTACATTTAACTGTCTTCTGACTTTCCTATAATATAATATGAAATAAATCAAAAGAACACCAGAAAGACTTGACAAAACAATGGCTGATACTAATAAAGGAACATAATATTTGATGGCTGGAACAAATGTTGCTAAAATTGTGACAAAATCTCCAACAGCACAAGCCCAGTGCCACGCAACGCCCATCGATTGGAATATAATATCGACAAAAGTTACTACCGATAACATGTAATATCCCAGGTATAAAAATGCGAGGCAATGTATTGCTATTAGAAAGACTGGAGCCCAATATTCGAAAAGATTTAAGATAAAGAATACAACTATGGAGCAAAAGTTGAATATAAGTAATCTAGTCATTAATTCTGGATCAAAGTTGAGTAAAGGGCCTTTAGTTATGACAATTGATTTTCCAGCAAAACGATGAATCATAATGAACGAAGAAACCATGTAGATATATGAGAATAAGAAAAATATAAATGAAAATATGATTTTGACGCTACTTTCGCCATTTGCAATTTTTGTAAAAGTTTCTAAAGAACCAATCATCGCAGGCATATTTATCCAAACCAAGATCGTATCGTAGTATAGTCTGATTGGATAATTTAGAATATTAACGAATTTACGTTGATACTTGAAGTAAACTAATTGAAAAACTATTAAAAATATTGTTGCCAGACTAATAATAAAGATGACTAGTGATACGTAAAAGTAATTATTTTCCGATCCTTGTTTATCGATGAAAAATAGCAAAAGATGGATCCATCTCATTACTGGTTTATCGTGAAAACCATCCATATATTTCAACCAAGGCCAGGAACATATGTATAAACAATCGCCAAAGTATAAGAAGAGAAACGGGTAGGCAAAAATGACAGGTATAAGATTTTGTTGGAAAATTGAGTAAAATAAAGGAAAATGGGAGTCAAAAAAGCCTTTATGAACAGTTAATTCCACAGCCTGATTATTATTATAATCAGTTGATATGGAATTAGCTGCTGCTCCGTTCATAAATGTTTTCCCCTCTAAAAAATATTTTTTATTCATAACGTAGATATTTGAAATTATTGAGCATTTGTATTTTTGAGAAAAGATTCTTCAACGAAGGAAATTTTTTGATAATATTTCCATATTGGATATGTTACATTATTTTTAAATTATATTGATAATTGAAATCAGATACATTTACACAAAATTAATTTAGATTTAAGGTGTTTATGCTATGAAGATATCACTTGAATTTTTTACAAATTAAATGGAATTGACTGAATATTTTATTCGAACTTTACAATTTTAAGCCCCATCTACAAATCACTATAATATGCTTTTTAAAACGAGACGTCGAAAAAAACATTTGAAAAATTGAGATTATATACAAATCTAGAAAACTCATTAAATCACGATGTACTATTTATATACAATCTTTTGATTTTCATCGAATGAATGCAAAACCGTTTTTTAACAAAATCACATTAGAATTTAAAATAATCGAATATTTTAGGATAAATTAAAATAGATAATTTAGACCAATATTTTTTTCAACTATTTTGATGATTGGTCAAACAATTATAGGAATGAGATTATTAGCTAACCCTGCGCAAATGGCCAACAAATAATATAAAATCTTCTTGAAAATTAATTTTCAAAATTACAGGCTCACTCAGCTTCCATCAATTGCTTTAAGGAAAATTGTTAATAATACTTATTTTTAATAGATAAGTGGCAGCAGCTTTGCATTCTGTAGTTGGCAATTAAATATGACTATAAAACCAGCTGAAAGTCACAATTTTGAAAGAAATGAATTTTGTTCTCTTAAAATACTTGATACAGTAATTACAAATAAATACAATTTATTAACAAAACAGAAAAAAATATAAAAATATATAAAAATAAAAGTATTATCATTACATGATGATCTGTATATATCTATATCTATAAAATAATAACAAAAATACAAATAAATTATTCTTCTTCTTTGATTCCTGGAATTTCTCCCTCTTCTTCATGAATTGTTGAGGCAATAATAGAATTATCTCTGCGAGATGAATGAATTTCTGCTGTTTTTCCTAACAAGTTCGTTGTAGAATTGTTTGTCATTCTCAATCCAGGCAATAAAAGTAGATTTCCGCTAACGCTCTTAGATTGTGCAATCTTTGAGAACAAATCTAAGTTTGCTAAGCTATTTCGTGGGTTAACAGCAATATTATGCAGACTAAGTTTCGATTCGAATTTAGATTGAGGTGGAGAGTCGTTAATATTAACATCTGCTATCGTAATATAGTATGTGAGTTGTTTTCCTTTACCCTTAAGGAACGTTTCTCCTCTTGGCGTAACTTCATAAGTAATATTATTAATCAAACTCAAGGTTGCCTGCGAAACATGGACCCTATTCACTTCTGATGTGCTTTGAAGTCTTGCAGCAACATTAATGGGATCACCTATGATATCGAAAACAGGCTTATCAGTACCTAATACACCTGCAATAATTGGACCACCACTATTTATGCCAATTCTGATCTCCAAGTGGGAATCCAAGTGTATGTTAACATCATCCAACGCATCTAAGCATGCGAGCGAGAACTGAACAGCTTGTTCTGCATGACTTTCTGGTGGACTATCTGGATTGAACAAACCGCTAGCCGCCATGTAAATGTCTCCGATCAGCTTTATCTTCTGTATCATGCCGTACTTGCCGGCGACTCTGTCAAGCTGTGCAAAGTAATACGATAAATTTGACATAATCGCTTGAGGTGTCAAGTTTTTAGAGTACTCAGAAAATTTGTTGATATCGATGAAAATAATTGTCGCTGAAGGGACAACGAAAGAGATATCTTTTTCTCCTTTGTTGAGCTTCAAGACAATATCTCTTGGGAGTATCTGATACAACAATTTTTCGGACTTCATTTTGGCTTCTTCAGCTTGTTTCTTTTGGTTTGTCAAATTCTCGATATTTTGCATCAAAACAACGAAAGAATTTACAACATTTTCTTTTTTCATTCCAATCAATGTCAAATGGACAGGGATTAATTTCTCATTATCTGCGATTGCAGTGTAATCTTCTTCTATGAAATACGAGCTCTGGTTGTTCTTCATTTGCTCCAATTTCACAGTGAAATCGTCCATATCTTTTGGTATTAAAAATGTTTGAACTAATTGGCCTAAAACTTGTTCTGGAGTATAACCAAGCAAAGTGTTGACACCTTGGTTACTCTGCTCTACAATACCAATTGTGTTAGTGAAGAAGATGGCGTTCTGGGAGTTCTTTATAATTGTGTACTCGAGAGACTTTGTGTCATTTGTTTCTTCAGGTTTTGTCGACAAAAAGATTTCGTTGAACATTTTATTGGCTAATAAAGCGTAAGGAGAAAATCTTTTGACAACGAAAAGAATCGCTTTGTAAGTCAAATCTCTGTTCATGTAATAGAAATGGACAATTATATAAAGAATAAAAAGAAAAACGAAAATGATAATAATAATAACAACAGATAAATTCATGGCTTTGTAATATCCGTCGAGAGCCAATTGAGTTATCAAATCATTCGCTTTAATAATTTGCTCCCACATATTGTAATTTGCAAGGAAAATCAAGTTAGCGATTAATGAAGTAGGAATCTCCATTGATGTGGCATTTTCAAGGTAATAAACTAGAGAATCAATATAATTCGAGAAAATGGAAATCTGTGAATGAATTGAAACTTCTGAGTAATATTTTTGAGGACTGCCAACATTCGTCAAATCTATCGAGTTTCCAACATTTAGTTCATCTAATTCAGCATCATATCCATAGCAAGGATTCGAAGTACTCGTTCCTCCTATTAAATCTTCATCCGCTTGAACGAATTCTTGAACTAAAAACCGCAGAGCTCCAATCAAATCATTCATAGAATAAGCATCATAAGAATCAGGAATATCTCTTTTGACTAAACTCAATATCAAGACATTGAAGAGTTCTGGTGAAAGTGATAGTCTTTGTGATGAAAACTTGTTCCAAACATTCAAGTTCTGGAGGTCATCAATTGAATTCAAAATAACTTTTGCGGATAAAAATGCCAGAGCGAGAAAAATTATTGAAACTAACAAAATACAAATCAACAAGAAGAAACCAAACTTTCTTGAAACATGGCTTTCTTGGATTGTACTTTCTTCTTCACCTCCATTGATAGATATTTGTCCCTTCGCGAACTGCTTGTCATTTATATCAAATGAATAAATCATTTGAATAATTTGATACATTGATTTTCTTGTCATGAAATGAATGACCAAGAAAGGAACAAAAATAAGTAAAAAGACAACAGGAGGAAGAATATAATATATCAAAGTAAACGCTACTAATAATTTCCCATCACCGCGTCTCTGGAAATTGGAAACATTTGTAAATAAATATTTGGAACTGAAATAAAGATTTCTGAAATTATACGTTATTTCGCAAGCGGTTTTTAACGTTATATTATCGTAATTTGAGAACAACCGCTGATTGGCGAAAACTGTCGATTGCATTGATCCGTAACTCGTGTATACATCATTAACAAAGTTTCCACTTTCATCGCAAATTGTCATGTAAGTTACAGGCTTTATCAAACTATAAGTAAAGTTATAAATGTCTTCACCATCCATTGCTAAATCCGCGAAAATGTTTATCATCGATTGGAAGTTTGAAGAAGCCAATGTTGAGAAATTGAGGTTGTTTCGCAACATGTTTGAGTAGATATTGATTATTCCAGTGTCTTTTGATGCTTTCGTTTCATTTATATAATCCAGAATTTTATCAGAAAATCGTTTGAATTTTCCTGTTGAATTATAATAACTCATAACAATTGCAATATTCGCAACACCGGAATAGAAACGAGAAGCACTCATTGAATCAAGCTGTTTCATTTTTTCAACTCTTTGGAATAAATAATATGAAGATAAACTGATTCCTGTTATGAAAACAGCGACAAGGATTATTGCGACAATTAAAAAAATCAATTTGATTTTTCTGATGCAGAAAGGAATTTTGTTTTCAAGAAATCTATGAAGAGCTAAACGAGTTTTTGACAGAATCAAAGTTCTTTTTCCTATATATTCTTCGATTTCTGTTTCAAGCTGTTCATCATCTTGTAAATATTCATCAAGTTTCCTGTTAATTTTTCCTTTCTTTTTCGCTTGGTTGTTCCTTGGATCTGCAAAAGAGTTGTTGTTTTCTTGGTCATTTTGTGGTGGTTTATCTTCTTCGTACGCAATTATCTTTCCATGGAAATCAACAATTCCTTTTATTAAATAATCAGGGAAAGCAGAAATCATCGTTCTGAAAGAATAATCAATAGAAAAATCATAACCAAGTTCAATTACATCTTGTCTATTTTTCAGTTTTATTGCTTCAGGAAAATCACATTCGCATTCTAACAAATACCTCGAAAACTCATCACATGTCCTAGGATTATTCGGTGAACTTGCAAGCTGCTCTTTCCAAATTGACCTCACTTTTGACGCTTTCTGACCCAAATATTCAAAATAATTTGGATTTAATTGGTTGTTTTCTATTGCGTATCTTGTAATCGTTTCTACTTGTCTGGAAAGAGTTCTAAGTTCGATGTGTTTGAGCTTGTTTTCTTCTGTCTCAACATACTGTCTAATTCCTGAAACATTGTTAACTTGATAAATAAGAAAACGGGACAAATAATTCAAAGATCTTTTTGATTGTAAAATTTTTTTGATTTTTTGTTTCATTTTGATTTCTTTTGGGAAGAAATTGACTAAATGGAGGCACGTACATAGGATTAACTCACTGTCATATCTGTCTAAGATGTAGTTTATCAATGTCATGTTGTAAAAAGGAGGCATCGTGTTGATGAAACTGTATCTTAAACAAATTAATGCAAAATCTTCGTCCCAGTCTAATCCTATGTTTGTATAATATGCGTCTGCTTGTTCTTGATCTCTTCTGTCCTCTTTCATGAGCCCATGAAGCCATTTCATGCGAAAATGAATTATAATGAATCCAATTATGCTGAAAAAGGCAAAAGCGCCTAAAGTAAGAATAAGCGGGATTTTTGTTGACATATTAGGTACGAAATATCCGATAAAAATGCAGATATCGGCTGTATTACAGGATGAAAACCATCCAATTGTCATACTGAGCGTAAGCGTATCGACGAATGGCATGTGCTTAATAGTATAGTATAGAAAATAGCCGTAAAAGAATAAATGAATGACGATTGCAAATAATTGTGCCCAACTTTCGAATAGAAGTAAAATAAAGAATAAAAGAAAAACTGTAAGCATTGTATATAGTTTATAAATCATCACGCTTGGATCAAAGTTGAACAATGGGGATAAATTTACACAAACAGATTTAGATGCAAAACTCTGAACTGTAACAAAGGCATGAGATTCGTAGATTAATGATATAAGATTGAGGACAAAAGCTATTATAATTTTAACGTCTTTTGAACCTTTCGCAATAATATAAAAAGTTTCGCCGCATCCTATTAAAACAGGAATGTAAGATGCAATTAAAATCGTATCGTAATAAAATCGAATAGGGTAAAAAAGAAAAGTCACGAATTTCCGTCTAAATTTGTAATAAATTATTTGAAATCGAACGAAAGATGAGTTAATGATATTAAAAGCAAAGAAAACAATTGATTGGGAAAAGAATCCGAGATTTGTAGCCGGTCTTGGAATGTAAAAGAAGATTTGTAGTAACCATTTCATGACTGGAGAGCTGCTATGATTCTGCCAGTATGCTCCCCATGGCCATAAGGAAACAATAATGACTTGTAAGAAGAAAGATAGCATGAATGGATAGACAACAATCATTGGAAATTGAACTTGTTGAAAAACAATCATGAACAAGGGGAACTTTTGATCTATCAACCCTAGTAACTTTCCTCTTAATTTACTTATTCCTCCTGATTCGGCAGAATCCCCTTCATCAGAGTTTCGCCGAATCATTTTTTTTATAAACTAAAAAAAATTTAATGGTGACACTCCCCATTTATAATTTAAAATTAATTTTAAATGCTTATTTTAATGTATATGTTATCAACAATATCAATATCAATTTTTTAATATTGAAAGAATTAAACTATTTATTGAGTGATTTACATTATTAAAATTGAAAAGACTCACATGATTTTCTATACATTATCAAACTGAAAACAGAATTAAAAATGACCAGCAACGAATTGTTATTAAATTTAAATAAAAAACTTCGTTGAACTTTTTGTTTTGAGACATGATGACTTTTTTTCAATATGCAAATATCAGAAATAATAATAATGCTGTTGAAGAGTTTATTATTGATTTATTTAAAAATTACAAACGTACAAGATTTTAAATAAAATACGTTTTTATTTTTAAAACAGTAACTAATAAGATTACAATTTAATTTAAAATTATCAAAGTAGATATAATGATTAGCATTTTTCATCTAACAATGTCTAAAAAACACCACGAATATTCAACAATCGATCCTTTGATTTTGGAGATTATGTTTAAATCATTGAAAATCTAGATAACTGTTTGACACTATGAAATATTTATGGTTGTATTGGAAAATTTATTCAAATAATTTTGCTCAATGCATTACCTACCCAGGGTCCTAAAATGGGTATTTTCCTCACACAGACACCGTGGTTTTTTGAGCCGGGAAATAAATAGCGCAGACAGTTTCTACATATAGAGACATGCTTATACTTAGAGTTTGACGGGAATCTAAAGTGATTTTTTTCTGCATCGCGAAATCTAATGCAATCTCAAAATCATGAAGAAACTGCGAATCGGAGCGCAATTTTTTAATATGTTAATATATAAAGGTACCCCTACTACTGCAAATGCTTCAAATGAAAATCTAAGAAATCAGATTAATTTGATCACATTAGTATAGTATTGGTCAAACCAAAAACTCATATGTTGATATATAGCCTATGGATATTCATATTATCTACTTTTCATTGAATTACATAAGATTTAATAATCTCATAAATATTCTTTTTAATTTTCCGAATTCCGTGTGCATTTAGATTGCCCATACCTGTATATAATAATTCTAGAATGGTTTGGTTAGATATTAAGTTTTTTAGATTAATATTTTAACATTTTGATAAAACAAGCATTTGTTCCATTTTAGAATCGCCATTGAACTCTGGTTTGACTAACATGATGTTGTATGATCAAATAAATTCTAACTTCATGAGATAAATTTTGAAATTAGAAAATGCGATATCTGACTCAAATATTTATATGAACACATTTAACATTCAATGATAAACTAAAGTACTATACAGCAGATTCGATTTGGCTTATATTTTATATAATCAACTAATAATCCTATAAAATTGTGCTATTCACGTTGCTCAAAGATGTATTGAACATTCACTACTTGTGTATTGATAAAATTAGATATAGATTCTAATGTAAATCGATATTTTGAAAATTCATATATATTTTGTCTTGGTTTGGCATTTGATCGTGTTGAAACCGGAATTGCAATATATATCATCTAAATATATAACTATCAAAATATGAGCTATAGATTTTTAAATTATTCTCCTGAATATGAGTGACTAACATAATTATATTGAATTGAGTAGTAAGAATCTTAAATATTAGAATCTGACGATAATTTATTATAACTGTATAAAGGAACAAGACTATAAATGATGATGAAAATAAAGATTAAATTTAAATCTGAAAATTTGAAAACATTAAGTGTATTGTGCACTCTTGTCGGTCACAGTGTCTCATTCCGGGAGACATTGTCACTGCATGTCTCCCAGAATGATATCAAGTTCCCCATTCATAACTTGAATGCGGAAGTTTGACCGACAAGAGTGTATTGTGCACTCTTGTCGGTTGAAAGTTCTGCAATCAGAAGAAGATTGTTGAACAATCCGCCATTCCAGGAGGCATGAGCTTGTTATCTCTCCTGAAATGGCACATATTTGATAATTCATGGAGCAGAACTTTGCACGCAATCAGACAAAAGATTGCGACAGAGTAACTGGGAAGACAGCAACTTGAAGCGATAAGCTGCTTGGGTGCTGTCTCCCAGATGCATCTGTCGGGCAAAGTCTCAAAGAAGCAGAACTTTGCACGCAATCAGACAAAAGATTGCGACAGAGTAACTGGGAAGACAGCAACTTGAAGCGAAGTTTTGTTTTCGAGTCTTTGGTTAAGAAATCTTAACAAAAAAACAAAGAAAAAAATCAGATAAAGTTGTCAATAACTTCATCAGTTAATGCTCACCTATGGGAGGTGTTTTGCGGGAGCTGGGGGTATCTTGGTGAGTACTCAGGAGGCCAAGAAGGGCACCCCAACCGACATTATCCTGATGAATTCAGTTGTCAACCATTCTGAAAACACCCGAAACCGTCGTGTGTAGAGAAATTGTTTAAATTTATTATTTTCAGATTTAAATAAAAATAAGAAATGTTTACTATTATGGATTTTGAAATTTTTTAAAATTAAGAGTAGGAGATGAGACAAATTTAAATTTTTAAGAAATATTTGGAAGGGCGTAAGATACGCCAACTTAAATATATTATCAAATGAGAGAAAATCGCTCAACAAAAAAACAATTCTTTCAAAAAGTTTAAAATTGATCTTTCTAATACATATTTTTGGAAGGGCGTAAGATACGCCAACTTAAATATATTATTAAATATGAGAAAATCGCTCAACAAAAAAACAATTCTTTCAAAAAGTTTAAAATTGATCTTTCTAATACATATTTTTGGAAGGGCGTAAGATACGCCAACTTAAATATATTATTAAATATGAGAAAATCGCTCAACAAAAAAACAATTCTTTCAAAAAGTTTAAAATTGATCTTTCTAATACATATTTTTGGAAGGGCGTAAGATACGCCAACTTAAATATATTATTAAATATGAGAAAATCGCTCAACAAAAAAACAATTCTTTCAAAAAGTTTAAAATTGATCTTTCTAATACATATTTTTGGAAGGGCGTAAGATACGCCAACTTAAATATATTATTAAATATGAGAAAATCGCTCAACAAAAAAACAATTCTTTCAAAAAGTTTAAAATTGATCTTTCTAATACATATTTTTGGAAGGGCGTAAGATACGCCAACTTAAATATATTATTAAATATGAGAAAATCGCTCAACAAAAAAACAATTCTTTCAAAAAGTTTAAAATTGATCTTTCTAATACATATTTTTGGAAGGGCGTAAGATATGCCAACTTAAATATATTATCAAATGAGAGAAAATCACTCAACAAAAAAACAATTCTTTCAAAAAGTTTAAAATTGATCTTTCTAATACATATCCTATGGAAGGAGTTTACATTCTCAAAATAAAAACCAGTTCAAAATCTTATTATTCCTTGAATAAAAATCATTTAATTTCAAATCCATTCCAAATCCTTAAATCTGTATTAAAATCATTATGCCAACAACCAATACAATACAAATTACATTTCCATATATCTTCTTGTCCATTTTAATTTTTTATCTCATTTTATTTAATTTTATTTAAAGCATATAGACATCGAGATCCTTTACACATAGTTATATAAAAGTCAAATACATAATAAATTCTTAATTCTAGAGATATCTCAAAATCTCATTTTTTTAATTTAAAATACCTTTCATTTTTCACAGTACGATCACAACAAACAAGCCATTTACTAATTAACACATATAAGAAAAATATCAAATTACAAAACAACTTTCAATATCATTCGCATCAAATTCTATTTTTTCATAATTATCAACTACATGTTATTATATAATATATGTCGGCGCATATTCCACTCTATACAAGTGTCAGACACACTCACACAAAGCTGTGAGATTCATACCTCTATCAGTAGGACTTCTCAAATCAAGAACACATATGTTTCACTATCGCACATCTGTGTAGGATCTAATTAACCCTTTGGACTGGTACTTCAAAATTTGATAATTTGATAATTTCATGTGATATCATCATTTGCCTTTAAAACAACTGTGCGTTAAACTAGACACGTTTCTCTATCATAATGCAAAATATCAAAGTTTGGGAGATTCCCAAAGTGTCTGAAACTGATCATAAGGGTGAAAAACCGTTTTCCAGAAGTTGGGAACGTAGGGTATTTTATTTGCAAATCTAGCACGAATTCTTGACAAAACAACATAATTTAGCCTAGATTTTGCGTTATTGAGATTTAGAGATTAGTTGCTTTATTTACAAATCAATTGGATCAATTGATAAAAATTATTGAAGTAATGATGAAAACAGCAACTAGGAGATCATAGGTCATTCAATAGTTAAATTGAATTCACAATCAAAGTGAAAATAAGATAAAAATTCGCTCTCAAAAATTCATACAAATGACGACAACAATGAGTTTTGAATCTCCTGGCGACAATTATCAAACAAATGACGACGTAGATTCAAAACAAATGAGAACAAGAATGGTTGTTACTATTGCAACAATAGCTGTTATTGTTATTTATATTTGTCTATGATTCTGATGACAATAAACTAGGTGGACAGATAGACATAACAGAAAACTTCTTTGGGAAGCTTAAATCAGCTGTTAGAGATGCAATTTTGATTAGGTGGCAACTCTAAAGTAAACATTTTTTGGACAATGACAACTCGTGCAAATACAACATTGACTGATTCTAAAACAGTAACGTTAACAAATGGAAAGAAGACTTGCATATTAAATGTAAAGAGTCCTTCCGATTGTACAATTTCATTTGGAGACAATAAACCATCCAATGATTTTGAAGAATCTAATGAAGGCACAAAAAAAATTTTGATCAAAACTTCTGTCGCAGCAGGTGAATCAAAGCAACT